TTCAGACCTAAAGACACCTGCAGATTGAAAATGAGGGGGTAGAAAAACACATTTACTATGCAAATTGAACCAAAGAGAAACCTGGGATAGCAATATTTATATTGAACAAAAGAGACTAAAATAAAGACTAAGGAGACAAAAAAAGGGTACTACATAATAGTAAAGGCAGCAGTCCAACAAGAGGTTGTAAAATTGCATATATATTATGAACCCAATATGAATCCAATACTGGAGCACCTAAATACATAAAGCAGCTAATAACAGACGTAAAGGAAGAAATTGATACCATAATAGTAGGGAACTTTAATCCCCCACTTCAGTGGATAGATCATCAAGACAGAAGATCAACAAGGACACAGTGGCTTTGCATGAGACATCAGACCAAATGGACCTAACATATATTTAGAACATCCCGTCGCAAAAACGTGGAATACTTATTTTTTGAAGTGCATATAGAACATTCTCCAGAATAGATCACATTAAGCCACAAAACAAGTCTCAATCAATTCAAAAAGATTGAAATCATATCATGCATCTTTTCTGACCACAATGGGGTGAAGCTAGAAATCAATCACATGAAAAATTCTGGAAAGAACACAAGTATATGGAAGCTAAATAACATGCCACTGAACAATAAGGGATCAATCAAGAAATTGAAGAGACTGCTGGGGAGTGGTGGGGGAAGGATAGGGTGGCTGGGTTATGGACATTGGGGAGGGTGTGTGCTATGGTGAGTGCTGTGAAGTGTGTAAACCTGGCGATTCACAGACCTGTACCCCTGGGCCTAATAATACATGACATGTTAATAGAAAATTTTTAAAAAGAATCGGAGAGACGATTTAAAAATGCATGGAGACAAATGAAAATGAAAATACAACAGTCCAAAATCTTTGGGATGCAGCAAAAGCTGTTCTGGGAGGGAAGATTGTAGCAATCCAGGCCTACCTCAAGAAGCAAGAATATCTCAAATAAACAACCTACCCTTATACTTAAAAGAACTAGAAAAAAGAAATCAAGCCCAACACCAGTAGAAAGAGGAAATAATAAAGATTAGAACAGAAATAAATGAAATGGAGACTAAAAAAAAGATAGGAAAAATCAGTGAAACCAGGAGCTGATTCTTTGAAAAGATCAACAAAATTGATCAATTTTTAGCAAGACTCATTAAAGAAAGAAAGGAAGAAAGAGAAAAGAAAAGGGGAAAAAAGAACAAAGAAAGAGGAGTAGAATAAATCAGAAATGAAGGAGGAGAAATAACTGATACCACAGAACTACAAAAGATTATAAGAGAATATTATGAACAACTATATGCCAACAAATTGGACAACCTCGGAAAAAAATGAGTAAGTTCCTAGAAACAGAAAACCTTTCAAAACTGAATCAGGAAGAAATAGGAAATTTAAACAGACCAATTACTAGCAATGAAATTGAGTCAGTAATCAAAAAGTCTCAAAAAATTTTAAAAAGCCCACCACCAAATCATTTCACAGGTGAATTCTGCCAAGCATTAAAGAGAAGGTATTACCCATTCTTCTCAAATTATTGTCCAAAAAAGGAGGGGTTGGGGAGGGGAAGGAAAGTTTCCAATTCATTCTATGAGGTAAGCATTACCCTGATACCAAAACCAGATAAAGACACTTGAAAGAAAGAGGGAAGAAAGGAAGGAAAGAAGGAAGGGGAGAGGAGAGGTGGAGAGGGAAGGGAGGGAGGGAACGGAACTTCAGGCAAATATCTGATGAACATAGATGCAACAATCCTGAATAAAACATTAGCAAGGAGCACCTGGGTGGCTCAGTTGGTTAAGCAGCTGCCTTCGGCTCAGGTCATGATCCCAGGTTCCTGGGATAGAGCCATGCATCAAGCTTCCTGCTCTCCCGGAAGCCTGCTGCTCTCTCTCCCACTCTCCCTGCTTGTGTTCCCTCTCTTGCTGTCTCTTTCTGTCAAATAAATAAATAAAATCTTTAAAAAAAATTTTTTTTTTAATTTTTTAATGCAACTCAAACCCTTCTGTGAGTTAAATCCAGCAATGGACTGCCTGCTTTGTGCTACAGATAAATGTAGGCAGTAGAAAGAGCTCATCTCCTGTTGTGTGTAGTTTTACACTGGGTTTCTGCAGAGACATGGGCTTGTCCTGGTAGTTCCAGTCTGACACCAAAAATCGGTCTTTTTGGATTACTCCTGCACATCCCAGGAGGTCTCTGCCAAATACTCTCTAAACCCCTTTTATTTTGATCAGTTTTCCATATTAGACTGAGACGCTTGACAGCTTGGGGTTTAGGTCTGTAGATATTTCCTTTTACATCAAAGATTAAAATTTTCCTCCTATTTTTCATTTTTTTAAAATTACATTTTAGTTAACATATAGGGCAATATTGGTTTCAGGAGTAGAATTCAGTGGTTCATCACTTAAATACAACACCCAGTGTCCATCACAAGTGCCGTCTTTAATACCCATCACCCATATAGCCCATCCCCCACTCACCTCCCTCCATCAACCCTCCATTTGTTCTCCATCGTTAAGAGTCTCTTATGGTTTGTTTCCCTCTCTTCCCCCCTACCCCTTTCCCATATGTTCATCTGTTTTCTTTCTTAAATTACACATCTGAATGAGATCATATGTATTTGTCTTTCACTGACTGGCTTATTTTACTTAGCATAGTATACTCTAGCTTCATCCACATCATTGAAAATGGCAAGATTTCATTTATGATGGCTGAGTAATATTCCATACGCACACACACGTACCACATCTTCTTTACCCATTAAATAGTCAGTGGACATTTGGGCTCTCTCCATAGTTTGGCTATTATTGATAATGCTGCTATAAACATCAGGGTGCGTATACACCTTTGAATCTTTTTTTGTGTATCCTTTGGGTAAATACGTGTAGTGCAATTGCTGGATCATAGGGTAGTTCTGTTTTTGACTTCTGAGGACCCTCCATACTGTTCTCCAGAGTGGCTACATGAGTTTACATTCCCACCAATAGTGCAAGAGTATTCCCCTTTCTTTGCGCACTTGCCATACCTGTTGTTTCTTACGTTGTTAATTTTAGCCGTTCTAACAAGTGTGAAGTGGTATCTCATTGTAGTTTTGATTTGCATTTCCCTGATGATGAGTGATGTTGAGCATCTTTTCACGTGTCTGTTAGTCATCTGGATGTCTTCTTTGGAAAAGTGTCTATTCATGTCTTCTGCCCATTTTTTAACTGGATTATTTGTTTTTTTTGGGTTGAGTTGTGTAAGTTCTTTATATATTTTAGATACTAATCCTTTATCAGATATTTCATTTGCAAATATCTTCTCTTATTCTGTAGACTGCCATTTAGTTTTGTTGATTGTTTTCTTCACTATACAGAAGGTTTTTATCTTTTATTATTATTATTATTTGACACAGAGAGAGAGAGGTCACAAGTAGGCAGAGAGGTAGGCAGAGAGAGAGGGGGAAGCAGGCTCCCTGCTAAGCAGAGAGCCCAATGTGGGGCTCGATCCCAGGACCCTGAGTTCATGACCTGAGCCAAAGGCAGAGGCTTAACCCACTGAGCCACCCAGGCACCCACAGAAGCTTTTTATCTTGAGGAAGTCCCAGTAGTTCATTTTTGCTTTTGTTTCCTTTGCCTCCTAGCAATGTGTCTAGAAAGAAGTTACTCCGGCCTGTCAAAGAGGTTTCTCATGTTCTTCTCTATGATTTTAATGGTTTCCTGTTTCACGTCTAGGTCTTTCATTTATTTTGAATTTATTTTTGTGTATGATGTTAGAAAGTGGTCCAGTTTCATTCTTCTGCATGTGGCTGTCCATTTTTCTTATCACCATTTGTTGAAGAGACTTTTTTCCACTGGATGTTCTTTCCTGCTCTGTTGCAGATCAGTTGACCATATAGTTGTGGGTCCATTCCTGGGTTCTCTGTTCTGTTCCACTGACCTATGTGTCTGTTTTTGTGCCAGTACCATACTGTCTTCATGACTACAGCTTTCTTATATAGCTTAAAACCTGGAATTGTAATGCCTCCGGTATTGTTCTAAGAGAGAAGTGTGTTGCAATACAAGTCTACCTCAAGAAGCAAGAAAATCTCAAATATTTAACCTAACCTTATACTGAAAGGAGCCAGAAAAGGCATAGCAGGGGCGCCTGGGTGGCTCAGTGGGTTAAAACCTCTGCCTTCAGCTCAGGTCGTGATCCCAGGGTCCTGGGATCAAGCCCCGCATCTGGTTCTCTGCTCAGCAGGGAGTCTGCTTCCTCCTTTCTCTCTCTGCCTGCCTCTCTGACTACTTGTGATCTCTGTCTGTCAAATAAATAAATAAAATCTTAAAAAAAAAAAAAGAAAGAAAAGAAAAGGCATAGCAAATAAAGCCTAAAGCCACCAGAAAAAGGGAAATAATAAAGATTAGAGAAGAAATAATGATATAGAAACAAAAAACATATGAGTGGATTAATGAAACTGGTATTTTCAAAATGTATTTTGGTCTTGGGAATTGAGGGTGAAGGGAAAATAATCCTTATTTTATCATTGTCAAAGCAGAAGACCTCAAAAATTTTCTTCTTGCCCAAAACCTTTTTTTTCAGTGGCTTTATTCTCTTGGCAGAGTATGAAATACTTGGACAGTATCAAAAGCTGAGAAATAAAAGAAAGATCAATTAGGTGTTACAGATCTTGATAGACATTATTGCTAATCATACTCATCGCCTGGATCTATGAAAAACAGGAGTTAGTGGATAAAAGAATCCAAGTGGGCTTTGGAGGAAGCACTTTTCTGGATTTGAATACGTAGTTCCTATTGTGTTCGTAGCGACTGTGAGAACGTGAATACACGCTCTGCTCTGTGTTGAGACGGTCCAGTGTTTGGCTCTCGGAGCTGCAGCTCAGAGCTTCATCCTGTTTTGCTTGTTAAAGCCATTTGATAAAATAAGGGAAAACGCTCTTGGAAAGGGTTGATGTTTAAAATGTGGAATGCAGTTCACGTTTTAACTTCTGTTCCCCCCATTTTTTTTTTTTTTTGGAAGTATGACTACGAATATGACGAGAATGGTGACAGAGTCGTTTTAGGGAAAGGCACTTACGGGATCGTCTACGCAGGCCGAGACCTGAGCAACCAAGTCAGAATCGCTATAAAGGAAATCCCAGAGAGAGACAGCAGGTATAGTAACTGTGGCTAATAAATGCGGTTTTCAAAATACTTTGGATTGTTTATAGCATTTTAGACAATGTTTTGGTGATATTTTAATTAATGAAACTCTGTCTGAAAACTCCAGTGTCTTAATCAGCCCCCTCTGAGGTTTAGCTTCTGCATCAGTCAGTGACTTAAGCACAGCCCTCTGGTGTCACCTCTCAGAGGTGACAAGGACAGGACTTCTAAAGAGTAGAAAAGACAATGGCCTGGGCGTGTTGGGCTCAGATGTGTCAAAGAATGGTTGATGTATTAGATGGATAGATGGGGAGTAAGCAGGATCAGAAATGGTTTGAACCACAGGTTCCAGTGTCCAATTTTGCACCTAAGGAGCTTGGAAGTCATGCCTCCATCTTAACAAGTGGAAAACTGACCAAACTAAAACCAAACTAAAAATTTTGGAATCCACTGGAGAAGGGAGGTCACAGGACAAGCCACCGCCCCCAAGCTTGGAGAAACAGTCATGGGAGGTGGGGGACACTTTTGTGAGTTTTGCCTCCAGAAGCCCTTACCAGACCCTCACAGTGATATTGGAGAAAAATTCCCTCATGCTTCCAGCAGGGGAGAAGGGGGAGAGGAACCATTTTGAAATATGCCACAGCTCTATTCTTCCTAACAAGGTCTGACCTCAAAGAAGCTATTTTTACCAGGCCCTAACCTATGAGAGTGTTATCAGAGCCTAACCAGCTGGGAGGAAATGAAATACCCAACTCTTGCCCACTGTAGCCATCCTGTACTAGCTGAGGGCAGCAGGGGACAGGGGAGAAGGGAGACTGCAAAGCATTTATGAGGCTCCCAGCCCAGTGGCACAGGCTCCTGAAGAGGCTGAGACCTAAGCATAAGACTATAGAATGCTTCCCCTCCAGGGGTTCCTTTTGCCTAATACATCATGCCTGAGTTTCAACAAAAATTACAAAGCATACCAAAAGACAAAAACACAGTTTGGTTTTTTTATTTTATTTATTTATTTTTTATTTGACAGAGAGGTAGAAGATCACAAGTAGTCAGAAAGGCAGGGGATGGGGGAAGCAGGCTCCCTGCTGAGATCATGACCTGAGCCAAAGGCAGAGACTTAACCCTCTGAGCCACCCAGGTGCCCCCACAATTTGAAGAGACAGAGCAAGCATCAGAACCAGACTCAAATATGGCAGGGATGTTGGAACAATCAGACCAGGAATTTAAAAACAACTTTAATATGCTGCAGGGTAAAGTAGACGGTGTACAGAAACAGAGGGAGTGTGAGCTGAGATGGAAATCCTAAGTAAGGATCAAAGAAGTGCTAGAGATCAAAATCACTAACAAATGAAGAAGGCCTTTGCTGGGCTGGACACGGTTCCTTTTCTGATCTCAAGGATATGTCCTCAGGAAGTTCCACAACTGGGGTGCCTCAGTGACTCAGTTGGTTAAGCATCTCAATTTCGGCTCAGGTCATGATATCAGGGTTGTGAGATAGAGTCCTACGTCAGGCTTCACACTCAGCAGGGAGTCTGCTTAAGATTCTCTCCCTCTTCCTCTCCTTCTGCTCCTCTCCCATTCTCTGTCAAATAAATAAATCTTTTAAAAAGGAAGGAAGGGGGACGCCTGGGTGGCTCAGTTGGTTAAGCAGCTGCCTTCGGCTCAGGTCATGATCCCAGCGTCCTGGGATCAAGTCCCGCATCGGGCTCCTTGCTCCTTAGGGAGCCTGCTTCTCCCTCTGCCTGCCATTCTGTCTGCCTGTGCTTGCTCTCTCTCCCTCTCTCTCTCTGAAAAAATAAATAAATAAATAAATAAATAAATAAATAAATAAAAAGGAAGGAAGGGAGGGGAGGGAGGGAGGGAGGTAGGAAGGAAGGAAGGAAGGAAGGAAGGAAGGAAGGAAGGAAGGAAGGAAGGAAAAGAGAAAGAAAGAGAAAGAAAGAAAAAGAAAAAAGAACTTCTAAAACTGAAAAATAAGAAGACTGGAAAGAACAAAACAGTATATCCAATGCCTAGGGCAATAGCAGAAGAAAAAGAAAGAGAAAAGAACAGAACTATTTGAAGAAATGGTGTGAACCACACATAGTTTGGCTGTGTAGAAAATGGCAGGGTTTTTAGGAACAAGAAAGTTGTTGAGGGCATGGAACAGCTCTGCTCACAGAATTTTCTGTTGATCCCTGCTCTGGTCCTCTGTTCTGTGGTTTATTTCTCTAACCAGTAATTCTCTATTGTCTCAGTCTCATGATTCCTGTTGCCCTGTGGCTTCCCTCCCATCTTCTCTCCATAAGATAGAGCTCCTCCAATCAACTACATGCATTCTTTATTGGTTGTGTATTCAAACTCTGAAAGAGAGAGGACTGGATTGAGTCCATTGTTACTATCGGCCTCTCTGGGCCAGACTTTAATGCCGGGCTACATCATGGCTTTGAGGATATATCCATAGGATCTTCCAGAACTGGGGCATCTGGGTGACTCAGTTGTTTAAGCATCTGGTTCTCAATTTCAGCCCAGGTCATGATCTCAGGGTTATAAGATCAAGTCCACTCAAGTCCATTGTTTCTGGCCATGGTGACTGGGTTACATGACCAACTTTCTTCAGAAGCTCTCTGGGTCTACCCATCCTCTCCACTTATAAGTTTCCAGGGTAACGTGGCCAAAACAGAACTATACATTTTTACCCCCAGATGTACTCACCTGAAGTATTCCCTGCCTCAGTGAAGGTTATCCTGTCCATCAGTTGCTCAGGCCAAAACCTAGGATTCCTTTAGATCCCTCTCCTTCCCTCGATGTCTCCTCCATCAGTAAGTCGTACTGTGGGCTTCTGTAACATCCTCAGTCTCCCCACTCTTACCCGTCGCCACAGCTACAAGTCCAGTCTAAGCCTTCAGGTCTCTCACACAGGATCCTTACTGAAGCCTTCTCTTAAGGAATCTCTGCCTTCACTCTTCCTTTCCCCGTACTCAGGCCTTCCTCAGAGAAGCCACAGACATCTCTCTGAAGTGAAAATCATATCATGTCACTGCTGCTTGAAACCCTTCCGTGGATCCTTATTGTAACCAGCATGAAACCCCCAACCCTTAGCATAGACCTTGGCTTCCCTTGGTGGCCCCCACTTCCTCCCCGGCAGCCATGCCGACCCCAGGTACACAGGGGCTCATTCCAGAGGACTCAGCAGCATTGCCTCATTTCCTTCAGTTCTCAATTCAGACTTTAAACCAGCAGACAGGCCTTCCTTACCTCCCCCAAGCTGAAAAACACATCCTCCCAAAGCGGCCAGTGTCCCAGGTCCCAGCTCTTTTTGCCTTTCCATCCTTAGTGCATGACTTTCCTCTGTGGCCGCTTTGCCTCCAGCCTCTATATTAGCATTCGAGGTAGGAAGAAGAAAAAAGACAACTTTCCCAGAAATGTCCAGCATACTTTCGCCTCTGTTCCATTCACCGAAAGTGATCACCCTGACTCCCAATAGCATTTTTAGCTGACCCTACAAAAAAATCCTACAAATGGAAGGACAGATGTGGGTAGGCAAACAGCTGTTGCTCTGTGCCCCACGTATGGTTTTCATTTTATTTTCTGTGATACTGTTGCAGAGTTTCCTCTTGGTTAATCCATGAGACATATTTATGAATTCCCTCTTATGAGATGATGATAGAAATTGTTAATGAAATACCTAGGGTAATATATACAAATTTGTCATCTTAAAAATGTTAAATATTCCTATAGGTTCTTTTATTATTATTATTAATATATAATGTATTATTTGCCCCAAGTGTACAGGTCTGTGAATCATCAGTCTTACACAATTCACAGCACTCACCATAGCACACACCCTCCCCCGTGTCATTAACCCAGCCACCTTATCCCTAACCCCTCTCACCCCCCAGTAATCCTGAGTTTGTTTCCTGAGATTAAGAGTCTCTTATGGTTTGTCCTCCTCCTGATCCCATCTTGTTTCATTTTTTCCCTCCCTACCCACCACGACCCCCCTACCCTGCCTCTCAAATTCTTCATATCATAGAGATCATATGATAATTGTCTTTCTCTGATTGACTTACTTCACTCAGCATAATACCCTCTAGTTCCATTCATATCTTTCAGTAACATATATACAGATTTTGAAACGATATAAAATTTAACGGGCTTTTCACTATCCAATGACTGCAGCAAACCGACCAACCTTTAGCAACAGCCCTTCCCCCTCCCACCAGCAGATGAATTTAAGTAGGTAGTTGGAAGCAAACCACTTTTAGAATCCCCTTTGTAACTTAAGTTTATTCAGCTGCCATTGAGCATTCACAAAGCACACCGACACCAACAAAGGTCCTGTTTGGTAGCGATGCATTTGGCAGAACATTGGTTGTTTGAAAACCCTCAAATGACGAGTGCTTCTCTTGAACAGCTGGAGCCTGGCATCTCCTTATTACCTATAGAAGCAAAAGTGACGTCTCTCGTGTTATTGTGAGAAACAACACACAAAGTTCTTTCCATCTACATGCCCTGGAGGGGTTTTCACATTGCATGCAAAAAAATAGCAGTTAGAAAGGACAATTGCTAAGGTAATAGGATGCATGTAAATAATGTATGATCCAGCATCTACCACGCATGGCCATCTGGAATGAACGATCATAGCAACAAAAACAGTTGCTTCTTTGTTTCCTTCACACTTTAAAAGCACTTTGTTAGAGAATTGGAGGAGTTGTAGGAGAGAAGGGGTGGTGGGTTCCTAATCTGTGCCAACTAGTGGTTAAATTTAGGTTGGCTTCCTCTTCCAACACTCTACACACAGCTGAACTATTTACTTAGATCAGTTATTCTCTACCCTGCTGTATATTAGAGCCAACTGGGGCACTTTAAGAATTACTGATGCTCAGGCCTTATCCCCTGAAATTCTGGAGTTGGTCGTAGGCATTGGTTATTTTTACAAAACCCTTTCAGGAGGTGAGATGTCCAGCCAAGGCTGGGAACCACTGGTGTGGATCAACGTAGTGGGGATTTGACTCAGAATGTGCTCTGGAAATACGTATGGGTTAATAATTTTTCAAAGCTATATATATATAAGTAACTCTGATTATCTGTACCATTTCTTCTCTCCACTGTCACGGCTAGTAGAGAAGAAATAAGATTTCTTGTAACTCCCATAGATACACATTGCTGATTGACATGAACAGATTAGCATTTCATGCTTATTTGGTGCTTGACTCTTACCCTTTCACTTAGTGAGACTTTCTGAGTGTTACTAATCAATTTTATATTGGAGAAGGGTTCTTATTCTTGGCTAGGTTGAATCCAGACTATTATTGTAACTTTTAAGCTATCCTTTGGTTACATAATGAGGGAGGGGGGCAGGAGAGTGACATATTTCCTTTTCCAGGATCTTATATTTAAACATTCATAATTGATTTTCAGTAGAGGCTCAGGAGGTGAGAACCCTTTGGCTTATCATAAACTGAATTAATCACTTGCTTTGGATTTTTAGTCATTTTTAATGCCCTAAATCTGTAGAACAGACCCAATATTGCTACTAATTTATCTCATGCATATCGAGAGCAATCTTACTGCTGAGTGTTTTCTTATTAACTAGTGTTGTAAACTGTTTTAAACACCATGGAAGAAGTAACTTGCAAATGTCCTGAGAATCACAATCTAAGTATCTTATTGGTAACACTACATATCTGTGTTTCTCAAGTTGTCTCAGTTACCAAATGGAGTTGTCTCTAACTGATAACCTGTTGAGGGGTTCAGGTTAATACCTACTTTATAGTTCCTAGAGCAGTTCTACAGAAAAATAAAATGAGCAAAAGATTTAAAATACAAGTTAATTTTTTTGTGGTTGTTGGAAGCATTCTGAGTAATATTTTACAGATTATAAAAGTTTGCTTAAAGGGATTTGGGTTTTTGTAACTTCCTAATTGCTTTAGCTTTATAGTTTATCCTGAAAAACTTCATGACAATAGCGTTATTCCATACTAGCCAATTCTAGTATTTGTTATTCAAAAAAAAAAAAAAAAGCCATTCTGTTTATATGTATTTACCATCATAAGATCTAAGCATTTCTTGTGTGTAGCAGCAAAGGAAATAATGAGGCATCAGGTTTGTAGTTTATGGGCTGGTGGTTAGTGCCTTTCATACCTGTAACCTCCATTGTACAACAGAAAAAATATTAGAGAATAGCTTTGGGTCTCTAACACGCTACCATATAATAATCATACTAATATAAGTATATAATATTAATCTTCAAGAGTGATAAAAATCTAGAAGCTTTAGAGTACTTCAGATAATCATCAAAAGGGTTGTTCTGTCTGTTCCAGAAATATAAAACACTTTCACTGTATAATCTGATAAAGCAATGTACATCAAGTAAGTGATTTTGAAAGAAACCAGATGGTTTAATGCTGGTCTTTCAGCGTGGAGGCCTGGATAGGATGGGGTAAAAAAAAAAAATCATGATGTATTAGAACTGATGGACCCAGTAAGATGAGGATTTGCCCCGAGCTCAAAGAGACTTGATATAAATGGTTTTATGTTTCCTACAGAAGAGTTGCGGGGCCTTTTGGTAAGTTCTGGAATGAAAATGAAAGTGATTTGTAATTTTTTTTTTTTTTTTGAGATCATGACCTGAGCCAAAGGCAGAGGCTTTATTTATTTATTTATTTATTTATTTATTTATTTATTTGACAGAGATCACAAGTAGGCAGAGAGGCAGACAGAGAGAGAGGAGGAAGCAGGCTCTGGGCTGAGCAGAGAGCCCGATGCGGGACTTGATCCCAGGACCCTGAGATCATGACCTGAGCCGAAGGCAGAGGCTTTAGCCCACTGAGCCACCCAGGCGCCCCGTGATTTGTAATTTTTATCTCCCAGGGCAAGAGTCTCCTGGAATAGTAGAGTTATGTTACGAGGCCAGTGAAATAAAAAGTCATGTTAATGTAGACAGTGAGCTATGTGGGTGCATTCAGTTTTCCTGGACTAATATCTTAGCTCTGTCATTTACTAGCTTTAAGATCTTGGACAGGTTAGTTATCGTCCTAGTCAATCAATTCCTCATCTATAAAATGGACACCATAAAAGTACCTTCTCCTGGGGTTGTCATGAGAAATGAGTTAGTGTATACAAGAGGCTCAGATCAATGCCTGACACATTTCTCTTCAGGCCCTACCTACCACTGCTTCAACTTTACAGAATTTATGTTAGAGAAATAAACACTTTAGATAGTCATATTTTATTTTATGTATGGACATCTAGCTGATGTTTTCAATTTGTATTGCTTACATCTATACACTAAAATCTGGCTACACGATTAGCTCATCAACACTGGCATGTCTTTTAGATACTCCCAGCCCCTGCATGAAGAAATAGCATTGCATAAGCATCTGAAGCACAAAAATATTGTCCAGTATCTGGGCTCTTTCAGTGAGAATGGCTTTATCAAAATCTTCATGGAGCAGGTCCCAGGAGGTAAGAGAGGTTTTTCTTTCTTTAAAAAGTATAAATTTTTATGGGCTAAAAGAGGAGCACTACTGAATGGGATTTACCAGTTTACAGGTCTTAATTTGTCTAAGTTAAAAGATAAATCAGATTATGTTCATTGCAGCATTATTTACAATAGCCAAGATATGGAAACAAGCTAAGTGTCCATCATTGGATGAATGGATAAAGATGATGTGTTTCATATACACAGTGAAATATTATTCATCCATATAAAAGAGTGACATCTTGCCATTTCGACAACACAGATTACTATGAAGGCATTATGCTAAGTGAAATAAGTTTTACAGGGAAAGACAAATACTCTATGATCTTACATGTAGAATATTAAAAAAAAAAAAATACCAAGCAAACAAACCAAAAAAACCAAGCTCCTAAATAACAGAGAAACAAATAGGTGGTTGCCAGAGCAGGGGGGTAGGGGGTAGGGGTGGGCAAAATGGGGGAAAAGAGTCAAAAGGTACAAACTTCCAGTTATAAAATAAGTCCTGGGGATGTAATGTGCAGCCTCGTGACTAGTTACCACTACTGTATTGTGTATTTGAAAGTTGCTAAAGAGTGTAGAACTTAAACTTTCTCATCACAAGAAAAGAATGTTTTTGTAATGTGCGGTGACAGGTGTTAACTAGACTTATTGTGGTGATCACAACCCGGTGTATATAAATATCCCATCGTTATGTCGTACACCTGAAACTACATAATGTTTGTCAATTATACCTCAATAAAATATTTTTTTTTTTTAAATTAGACCTGTGACATCAGCTTGCTGTTTATTAGGAGACAATGAAAGTATGCTGAACCCATTTTAGTATCAATCATTGTGACTTGGATTAAAGTTAGGGACGGAGTGGCCTTTTCTTTTGATTGTAATAATGAGCATCTTCAGAGCATATGAGAGCCCAAGCATCTAATACTCACTCTACTTCCTGGGCCCCCAGGAATAACCAATCAATGTTAGTTTAAGTTACTGTTCCACTATTAACATGCTTTGAAGAACTGATTTGTTAAGATTCTATCCACTGTTTCTCCCTACTTTACAGGAAGTCTTTCTGCTCTTCTTCGTTCCAAATGGGGGCCATTGAAGGACAATGAGCAAACAATCGGCTTTTATACAAAGCAGATACTTGAAGGATTAAAATACCTCCATGACAATCAGATAGTCCACCGGGATATAAAGGTAGGATGCACTAGGATTCACGCTTACAAGCTCCTTGGTAGGTCACTGTTTGCTTTGCAAAAGTCATAGCGTGTTACGAGTATTAATTGAGAATCATGAATAAATCAACCTTAGAAAGAGCAGAAATGTAAGACACTACCTCCTCTGCTCCAAGTCAGTTATTGATACGCCTTATCTCTTCTCCTCAAGGAATAAATCTCTCAGCCATGTTCAGCCAACAAAGATTGACCTTCCACTGCACGCCTGATACTGTTTCCGGTGCTCTGGGGAGGGGGTAACAAAGCAGGACAAAACTGGGCAGGTTAGGGTCCCCATGCCTGAGGCGCTTATAGGCTGCTTAGTCTTTGTATCCTTGCCCGGACTGGCTACTCAGTAGATATTTACTACATCAATGGATGAATGATTAGGAGGGGAAAGAAAAAAAAAAAAAAAGATTCCCTCTTCTCACAAGTATCATATACTCGTTGTTAGAACTAAAATTAAGTAATTATTTGCTTCTCTTTAAAAGAGAAAATTCAGAGCTAATAAATTTCGACAAAGGGGGACTGTGGAAGGGAAGTTACTATTAACATCCCCAGAATCAACCCAGATCTTATTTCTTTGCCATATCCCTAAATATTCCAGGAAAAGAAGCAAAACAACAGAAAAAGTAAAATGACTAGGGAATCATGAATATCTTTGCTGAACACAGATAGCCCCGACAGTTTGCAAACTACAGCAGGCCCAAACGAGGCACCTGTTTGACCCTGTGGCCTGAGTAGCAGGTTGTGAATTGATAATATGTAAACAAAAATGGTGTCAGGAATTCACTCTGAAGGTTAACTATTAATGAAGAGCACAGACTGAGTCCTTATTTGCTCTAAGGATACCTTTTCTTGTTGGACTTACAAGCCAACAACAAACAGTAATGGAAGAAAGAACATTTTTGACTCAAGTCTTTTGTTCTCCAGGGCGACAATGTGTTGATTAATACTTATAGTGGTGTTCTCAAGATCTCGGACTTCGGGACATCAAAGAGGCTAGCTGGCATAAATCCATGTACCGAAACTTTTACTGGTATGTTTTTGCAGTGATGATACAGATCTTATGTAATTAAAGAAATAATTGCTGCATTAGAGTCTAATGTGAGAGATAAAGTCAGTCTGGGTTCTCACAGACATTCATGTGTGTATATTTTGGTGCTCACTGAAAAATGTTACGCAGAATTTGATCCGGCTCTTTTCTCATCTTGTATTTCTAGGATTTGCTCAGTCTTCTGTTTAATGCTACGGAAATGTTTGTTTGTTTGTTTGTTTGTTTTTTTAAAGTCCATTTGTTACTTGTTTTCCCCTTTATGTCATTACTTCTCTCCTGGTTGGCTAAAGCCACTATAATCCTAACAAGATTTTTTTTTTTAACGTTTTTTTAGCCCAACCTCTCTGTGATTCTTACTCATATCTTAATCACTTCCCATTTGAACTATAAGTTCCTAATCTGTTTACTCCCTGTGGCCTATTTCCTACTCACAATATAAATAACCCTTAGCATTTCAATTCAGAAAGAGGAAATGACTCACCAACTCAGAATTGGAGTGGGGAGAGAGCTTGCCTGAGAAATTAGGCAATCCAGCCACCAAGCTACCTCTGAACAAAGTCCTGGGGGAGTGGAGAGAAAGTGATTGCCAAAAAGGTACCAAGAGGAAACCAAGGCTCGGAGAGATGAATGCCACCCCCCCCCACCAGGTACAGGAGGCCATCTGGAATTTAGACCCTGGTCTCCACTTGAAGTTCTTACTGCCCCACTCTGCTGAATCTCATGAAGTGCTAAGTCCTTGTTATAATCATCAGAGAAAGACTAATTTAACCAAAAAAATGTAATGAATAATCTGTGGTCTAAGATAAAGCAAAATGGCCAGGTACCCCCATTTCTGAATTCTGTGTGGTAGATGATGGTACCTCAATTTTGCAGGTGAGGAGACTGAGGGAGCAAAGAGAGATCACAGATAGAGGACGCAACAGCTTGTAAATGGTAGAACTTGGGTTTTTAATCTACCCTTTGCTCTTTCCTTTGACCTTCTGGCTCTAGTCCATCTTCCTCTCCACTGTGCTGATGTATCTGTTCTGGTAGCCTGGGAAGGGAAAAGGGGAGAGAGAATTTCTGTATATTTTCTCCTCAGAACATTCTGTCAATAGCACCTTTGACCCAGTTCCTACCCTCACAGCAATGGGTAGTTAGGGCACAGCATTAAACATATTTAAAATGTATTTTTTTAAACAAAATTAATTCCAGCCTACTAGTAACTTGAAGTGTCTTTCCATTTCTTTCTCATACCCTCTCAATTTGGCAAGAGACATTTTAGATGCTGCCAAGACCCAGTAACTTCTGATGGGAGAATCCCTAGTTTCAGACTTTTTATTTGAGTAAGATGTTAATGTAATGTCTTCTGCTAATCTTGAAGACAAGTTTTGTAATCCCCAAAGGAGTTGTAGTAAAGCAGTCCTTCCAGAATCCTTTGTTTGCACTTCTCACACTGGCCTCACATGAGTGACACAGGTCACTAACGTGCCTGGTCTGTCTCCAGGGCTGATCAAGAGGACTTGGAGAGGCATACCTTGATCTGCTCATGGCCATCGCCCTCACAGGTGCTCCGTCAATTTCTGATGAACTGACTGCAAAGATATTGACCTATTTGGTGGTTTGGTGAGAGGGAAGGCAGCATCAACCGCCATTTATAGAGTGCTTACTATCTATCTGACTGTGTTAAGTGCTTTACGTATTTCACTGAAATTCATACATCAGCTCTAATTATTTGGAATCAGTATGCCAATTTATGATGCAAAATTAAGGTTCAAAGAGGTTGAATAACTTGCTTGAGGTCACAGTGCTAGTAATAGAGCTATGATTCAAACTAGACTTAACATGCCAAGTGGAATTAATTATCTTCTCCCCAAACCCATTCCACCCACACACTTTTCCATCTCAGTTGATGGCCACCCAAAACTTAGAGGGATCCATGGTGCCTCTATTTTCTCACACCCCAGCCCAATCCGCAAGGAAGCCTACAGGCTCTACCTTCCAGAAGGTGTCCAAAATTAGACCACTCCTTTCTGCCTACACTGTTGCCACCCTCAGCTCTCAACTACATTACCTCCAAAGCCTGTTCTCCCTCCTTTGGCTCTTGCCTCCTACTGTCTGCTCTTAACACTGCAGCCAGAGTGATCCTTTGAAACATAAATCAAGCCCTGTTACTCAGAGACTTCGGTCGCTTTCTGTTTCTTTCAGAGCAAATAAATGCCGAAGTCCTAATATGGTGGACAAGGCTCTGACCTGATTCGGAGTCCATTACCTTTTAGACTTCATTTTCTACTCTTCCCCTTGCTCCCTCTGTGCCAGAAACCCTGGCCTTCCTGCATTTCCTTCATATACCTTGTGGCAGGGCCTTTGCTCCTGCTCTTTGTTCTGCTAGTAACACTTTTCTCCCAGCTATGTGTGGCTAAGTCCCTTTCCTTCAAGTTTTATCCCAGATATCATCTCAGCGAGCCTACCATGACTACCCTATTGATGTGGCAGCCCTCCCTGTGCACTCTTGATCCCCCTTCCCTACTTTTTTTTGGTCATTGACATATCACTTTCTAACATACTATATAATTTGCTGATTTATTATGCTATACTTTAATGTCTGTCTCCCACTGCAAAAAATACAAGCTCCATGAGCCAAGGATTTCTGTTAACTCCACTGCTATATTCTAAGTGCCTGGCCCACACTTTAGGCCCTTTATCTAAATCTGCTGAAGGAATGAGTGGATTAAATGGGATGTTAAAGTTCACACTTTGAGCCACTAAGTCGTAGTAGTTTCATGAGTGATTGCAATGGCAAAGAAATACTAAAAGAGATTATTTTAAAGTAATTTTTTAAATCTTTGGAATGAAGCTATATAAGGTATGGATTTTAGAGTCAATACTCTTAACTAGAGTCAATACTTTCCTTAGGCTAATGTACAGATTGGCTTGTGTCTTCATTATCTTGCTTTGTAAATCTCCTTATATAAAATATTATGTGTCATATGATTATGGAATAAAGAGAGCAGATATGAATACACAAAAAAAAAACCTGTTTTTTTTTTTTTGGCACTTGCTCTATGGGGGATAATTAAGCATGACTAGCAGATAGAGCTCTTCGAAATATCTGATGAATAAAAACATTGCGTACTGTGTTGATATTACTTGAATTGTCCAATTTTTAAAGTCCACTGTATTTTAATCAGTTGTGATTTCTACTCAAGATATTAGTACAACTTAAATTCTCTCATCAATTCTATTTTAGACTTAGATACAGGAAAAACCAACTGGCAGACTTAAACACATAAACTTTTTCTAAAAGACCATTTGATTTTATTTACACCATAAAAAAAAAACCAATCACCCTTGTTCATCATCTATAAATAGAGAAATCATAGCAGTTTTCTCCTAAGGGTAGGTGATTTGAAGAATGTAGTTACCTTACCCTTGGCCAGATGAAATGCTTCCCTCCAATAGTGTTGCTGATTTAAGCAGACAGCAGACATGTATGGTCATATGTGAACTTGAACATGAGCTATTGCCACATAATAATAAGAGCTGGAAGATAACCTGGCAAGATGACAATACTTGACAAAAATAATGTACTTTTATTTGGTTTTATGAACAACAAACAGCCAGTTTCTAGCATATGTTGCTTGGTTTCCTAGGAACAATTTAGAAGAATGGTGCATAGCAGTTTCACCTATAAATCGTGCATGAGGCATTCATAAAAGGTGTCTGTATTTATCAAAATGTCTGTCAGTTTGGTTATGAATCAGAAAATACTGAAGTAGCTCTTTTAGCAAATGCCTCAGTATTTGAAATAATTGAATATGGCATCTTGGATGAGTTCCTGTTTGCTGATTATATCATTTGTATGAGTCTATCAGTAGCAGGGGATATGGCAATAATCTGTTCCTGCTCACACTTCTGACTCATTGTTGGATTTGAAGGAATCACTCTAGGGGGTAGTAGAAGCCAATTCAGCCCTCTTGTTCCATCCACTGAGACAACTGCAGTTGAGTGTTTATCTGATATACCAGACCAGAGCCAGAACCAAGCATACTTGGTTCTCCGTTTAGTGTTCTTTCTATCATACCAAACTCTTCCACATTCTGATTCCACGTGGCCTTTTAAATCTCCTATGTTTCATTGTATTCTTCTACACTCTGTGTCTGGTGATTTGTCTGTACTGATGGCTCCTGACCTGTCTTTGATCTGTTAAACCTGTTATGCCATGGACCGCAGCACAGCAGAAGCCATATATATTTGACTTACAGAATGAAATACACCAAAAATGATTTACATTACTTTTAACAATGGCTTTCAGAAACTTCATGCTTTTGTGATTTAGAAATAAGAATCAAAACAGAAGAATTAAGCATTCAATTTAGAAATTGAGAAATAGAGATCTAGGAAAAATGGATGATTGACCTAGACTTTTCTTGGAAAGATTAGACATATACATAATAGGAATCTTCATGTATTTGAAAAACTAATTGCAAAATATGTGTGTTGATATATTCTCTGTTGTTCTCAAATGACTCATTCTTTGAAGTTTCTAAGCAGTCCCAATAAAATGATACCTCACTTATACTCTACTATCTAGGGGATGAGAAAGTATCTATCTCTTCATGACCAGATCATGTTGGCGAGCTATTCTTATATCCCTGATAAAATCCACTATAACAACTGCTATTTCCACTTTTCTTAATGACAGAAAACTGGAACTCAAGAAAGATGAGATATTAAGACCTGAATCATACTTTTAAAGTTGTCTTATTTATGTGAACAATTAAAGCTGTCGGTAGATATTCATCTGTTTTCTCTCCTTTAAAGTAGAAGTGTGTTTGAATTATCCCCAGGTACCCTGCAGTATATGGCACCAGAAATCATAGACAAAGGACCACGAGGCTATGGGAAAGCAGCAGACATCTGGTCTTTGGGCTGCACCATCATCGAAATGGCCACAGGGAAACCACCTTTTTATGAACTGGGAGAACCACAAGCAGCTATGTTCAAGGTCACATTTCATATGTCTTAAATGTCTTAAAAACCATTGGATAAAGCTCTTGGCTGGTCCATTTATGTGTATGATATTTTTTTAGGCAAAAGGAAAAGAGCCTAGGTAGGCACATTAAATGTGCTCTCTGAGCCCAGTAAAGTCAAGAAGATTCAGTCCCCTCGAAGTCAGTGCCTGTGCCTCACACTGCGGCTCTTTCCCTGCGTTAGATTTCTCAGCTTCAAAGTGAGATTCTGTATAACTTTGTCTGACCACCTTTCACAACGCAGCATAAATAACACACTACTCCCTGGAAGACGATTTAAGCTCTTTGGGAAATGGTCTGAAATCTTCCATAGAGGGAGGTAGGAAGACATTTACTTCATTTAAGTATTAAATCAAAGCAATATTTTCCTTCTCTATCCTAAGAGTTTGGAGGCTCCTCTAAGAAAGGGGTGGACAGTAATTGCTATTTTAAGGACGTCAGTCATACTCTTAATATAGCTACTCTTCTAGCTTGTCGCCTTGCCCATTCATTCGTAACTCTCCTGGGAGTTACCTCCCAAAACAGGGAGTGCTGAATATGGAAATAGGGCTGACAAAGCCCAGAGGCCACAGCCTGGGAATCCAGGGACTGAGCAAAGCAGTGACCTACTCTGAGCCCCTGCTGTCCCGATCTGTCCTCACCTGCAACACTGCCAAGCCGGATGAAGGTTTAAACTGAGCACCTGTTTCCCAAGAAGTAAAGCTCACCTGTCTGCTGTTCTCTAAGGCAGAGCACTTCTGATGAGAATTTGTGATTTCTTTCCTTGCCATTGACTGTGTTTCTAGCACTTATTCCACTGTGAATAGCTTCTCGTGAGGGGCCATGTGTCATACACCTTCTACTTGTGTAGAAGGCTTGGCTTCCTTTCAGCTTGAAGATGATCTGATGGGATACTGCTGATACAGAACCAAGGACTGTACCCAAACCAGAAGGGCAATGAGAGCTGCTAAGAGAGCTGCGATTCTCGACATAAATGATGTCTTTCTTTTCTGGGTCAATGTTTCAACTTTTGACTTTTCACCCATCTCTAGGATTTCACTCTGAAATGCTGCTCCGTTACCTATTAGTGCAGGGATTATTATACAGTAAGACTCTAGTACTGATTTACAGTGTTTGAATCTAGGCTCCAACACAGTCAAACTCTTTAATGACTTTGGGAAAATTGCTTAACCCTCTGGTACCACATTTTCCTCATCTATAAAATGGGTATAAAAATAGTACTTATCTAATAAAGGTTTTTTGAGATATATATGAGATAAAGTACTTACAAGAGTATCTTACATATAATAAAGTCTATATAATTACTACAAATAACTGTATGTTATTGCTTATATAATAATACGCTTCTATAAGCTGTGTAATAACAAAAAAGATTTCCTTAGAAAATTTTCTCTACTAACTACATGAAAACATTATTAAAAAGAATTTAGAATGGCTAGCAGTGAGAAGAAAATTCTAATTGTTACAAAAATTCTGTTTAATTTTAAGGTATTTTAAAATATCTCTTCATATGGGCAGTTTGACAGTGGTAGAGCATTTGACTGCATATGGGCAATTTGAGACAGGAGAAATATTCATGTTTCATGGCATAGGGGAAAGAACACAGGCTTTAAGCCAAACAAATTAAGGTTTGAATCCCAGACCTGCCTTTCTAGAATGTATCACTCACCCCTCTGAAACTCATTTTTTTCATTGTTGTAACAGGGATAATATTTAATCCAGTGGGTTGTTGGGAGTATTCAATACATTTCATAAATCAAAAAGCCAAGCACAGTTCCTGGCACACAGCTATTATGGTCAACACAGTCTGAATTTAAAATCTCTTTCTTGCATGCCAGTGTGCTAACGTGTTCTAAAATGTCAAGGACTGAATTCTTACTTCATAGTGCTGTCTACTGTCTTAACATAATTGCTTGGTCTATGTCACTGACAAAGTTACAAAAATACTCTGGATACTTTCCATAACCTAGAGAAAAAAATACCCTCTGTCACTTTGAGGAAAGGCATGAGTCTATAGAATACAGTAAAGGATTTTTTTGTGCTAGAAGGCCAAGTTTTCAGTCCTGGAGCTCATGTGATGAGATGGTCACTCAGAAGCTACATGTGTTGTGTCTTAGGTGGGAATGTTTAAAGTCCACCCAGAGATCCCAGAGTCCATGTCAGCAGAGGCCAAGGCATTCATACTGAAGTGTTTTGAACCTGACCCTGACAAGAGAGCCTGTGCTAACGACTTGCTTATTGATGAGTTCTTAAAAGTTTCGAGCAAAAAGAAAAAGACACAACCTAAGCTTTCAGGTACGTGGTTGCATTGAAGAGGACACAGGTCAGAGTCACTATAAACCCTGAGCTTTTAAGGTAGAAGATTTTTCCAGAAGTACTCTGCTTATAGATATCACTAGAAGTTGGTATAAACATTAGCACATTGCGCTTAGACATTCAGTTTTGGTTTCAGGAAGCCGCCTTACCATCAATTTCATGAATGCTGGGACCTCATACATAGTAGTCTTTCATTGGCTGGTTAGTAGGTAGGTCATGTATCAGGATCTATAGCAATCTTGTGTCACCGATAAAAGGATTAAAGTCTAAAAGGGGTGAAATATAGCCTTTTATTTTTTTTTAAAGATTTTATTTTATTTTATTTTGACAGACAGAGATCACAAGTAGGCAGAGAGGCAGGCAGAGAGAGAGAGAGAGGGAGGAAGCAGACTCCCTGCTGAGCAGAGAGCCCGATGCAGGGCTGGATCCCAGGATCCTGGGATCATGACCTGAGCCAAAGGCAGAGGCTTTAACCCACTGAGCCACCCAGGCACCCCGAAATATAGCCTTTTAGAACTGAAACTCTAGATCACCACTGATGGGCTCCAGAGCTCTTATGGAGCTGTTAAAACTTCCAAGCCATCCAGTACTGTGTTCTTTGAATTTTAGGCAAATACCTATTGCCTCTTAGAGGATATCTTTCTGAATCACTAACCCCCTACAATGTGAAAGAAAGAAAAAAAAAGAAAAGAAAAGAAAAGAAGATTGCCAGTTACAAGTAAAACAGCAAAATTGTCTTTTGCAATAATGTCCAAAACTTAGTTCAGAAAGGAAAAGCAAGTAAATGATCCCTTTGTTGTTGACATTTTTGTTTTTATCGGGGATGAGGATAGACAGATTGAATGTTTGACATTGATCCCATTTCAAGCATCCGCTTTTCTGTTATCTGTGTTAATAGATAGATGTGTTTGTTAGCAACAAACCCAACGTGTGCTTATGTTGCTGTTTGCTCTTCTTCCCACAGCCCTTTCAGCTGGATCAAATGGTGAGTTCATTTTTATATTGCTCATTAAGCTGAAGTTTGGTACGTGATCATGTGATAAGCTCTAGATTTCCCATTAAAAAACCTCTGCGTTTTGCCTCCGTGGGAGGCTCCCAGGTACCAAGGCTGTGTGCAGCTGCAGGCCTGGCTGGGCTCATTCCTTCAGAAACCCCTTTCCTCCTTAGGAAAATGAAAACGGATGTGCTAACCCAGTTAGTGGCTACAGTCCCATTTATGAGTGTTCTTAGGTGTTACAGAGTACTTTATGCCTCCTGTTAATTATGACTACAAACTACAGCCTGGCTTTACCTCTCCTCAAAGAATGCAAGCTGCAGGACTCTTCCTTCCCCAGTTCTTAACAGGTCATAAACACTTTCTTTCCGGAGCAGAGGGCACTGCCTTACCTCGAGGGGCGCCCATTTCAACAGGAAGAGTGGGAGGGTGGTGATGAGGAGGACCTCCTTCCGCCTTCAAGAGACATGACTTGCCCAATCTCAGACTGCTCTCCCATTGCCACACAGAGACCCAGAGAATGAAGCAATTCGTTTTAACCTAATAAACACTGTGACTCTGCTGTGTGCACAAGGAATGTGCTAGGTCCTGAATACATAAGGATGAGAAAAGCGTAGTTCCTGTCTTTAAGGAGACGTTGTTCTTGTAGGGGAGACACACAAGGAAAAAATCCGCTGCTCCGTGGTGTAATGTAGTCAGCGCAGAGGGAGTGACGGAGGGCGAGTGGGGAGCCAGGCGAGTTCAGTCCTAGCATGAGCTAATGCTGTAAGCGTGAAACCCCGCTGTGTGTGAAGGGGGCAGGAGGTGGCTCAGCATTGCTGGGCTTAAAATACATGGGGAGGAGTTGAACGTGGAGGGGGTAAGCAGGAGCATATCCCAAAGAGCTCCCTATGAAAATTATCAATCAGGTGGGGAGAGCCAGGGAAAGACTTTAATCTGGAATTAAAATCATGGGGTCTGTAATTCTGTGATAATAGAAACGTCCTCTATCTACACTGTCCAGTCCCTTAGCCACTAAGCATATGTGCTTTGAACAGTTGAAATGGGGCTACATTGACAGAGGCCCTGAATTTTTATTTTAATTTTAATTTCATTGAAAGGTTCCTGTAAATAAACACAGGGGGCTAGCAGCTACCATATCGAACTGTGAAGCTCTTGATGGCTCATTCTGAGAGCTGCCCGAAGAATCGTTTATTTAATAACATTTACTAGGTAACCTTTTTAAACCTCTGCTGTGCATTTAGCACTCGGGATCTAGGGCCTAGGGCGTAGGCCCTCAAAATATAGGCATGACTCAGGCCCAGATCTGCCTGCATGGGTCACTTGGAATATTTGTTAAAAATTAAGATTTCTGGCCCTTCCCAGAATCTATAGCTATAACCTAGAATGCTACACTTTTAAGTAAACAACCTGATGACTTCTTTGCTCGCTAAAGTGTGAGAACCTTTGAGATTTGGGCAGTCAGAGACAGGAGACAGGGTGATAATTAGGAGTTGGCTCTGACTGAGCTCTGTCCCTAAATTGTCCTGAACTCAGAGAACTTAGAGTCCCTGGTGCTTTTGAATAGCTGTTAGGATCTAAGGCAGCTCTCACAGTGATGGGAGGGAGTTAGAACGTTCCCCCTTTCCCAAAATGGGCATAGCCAATTTGCTGAAGTTAGAGCCCTCTCCCTCCCCCTAGACAGAAGCTCCCAGCAGTCTGGGGCCCATAGATTGGCCCCATGTGCTCCCTCCCCATGCCAGTCTACCCATAATAAAGCCATCTTTTTAGGGAATTTTTATTGGGATGAGGATAGACATCCTAACGGTTTAGCGAACCCTTACCCACCAGCTCCCACAAAAGAACAACAAGAAATACTCTTCCAGAGGCATACCTTTGACATTTCCCATCCTCAGAGAAGTCATTCAGCCTCTTTAAGACTTCCCATGGCCAGCCCTACAGCAAAGGTTTTCTTAAGAGTTGACAAAGACATGGGGCGCCTGGGTGCCTCAGTTGGTTAAGCCTCTGCCTTCAGCTCAGGTCATGATCTCAGAGTCCTGGGATGGAGCCCAGGGATCGAGCCCTGTGGTGAGTGCCACGTCCTGCTTCTCCTTCTTTCTCTGCCCTTCTCCCGCTGCTCACGCCCATTCTCTCAAATAAGTAAAGAAAATCTTTAAAAAAAAAATTGAAGAGAGAGTAGCATACAGGCAAGTGACTTAACTCCTGCCAGGCTTCTCTCTGACATCTGGAGTCTCCAGAACTTCAGTGTATTTGAGCTGATATCAGGGGACTTGTGACCTCCATGCTCTCCAGAAACTGTCAGCATGCTTCTGTGGTAACAGTTATACCTGAGTTTCTCCCCAGAAAGGCACTGTGGTTTCTCACTTACCTGGAAATCTTTTACAACTGGAGAAGCTAGAAATCTCAGGAATGGATTTCATCACGTTTCCACCAAGAATGTACATACTTGCCTGCCTCGGCATCCCCTTTTCTCCCTCTTTCCCCCTCATGGAGGAGGGAGTATTCATTTTCCTACAGAAGGTGAACCCCCATTTGGCTTCTGTACCCCACACACCCCTGACTTCTTCAGCTTCCGCTCTCCACATAACTCCCCATCTACCCATGCTCTAGTGTTTTCTGTCCTAAACTAACCTTTCCCCTGACACTACTTACTGCTTCATTGGCTAACACCCCACTTTTCCTGCTCCTCATCCCAGCTTCAGGTCTTGAAGAGCAGTGTCCCCTGATCTTCCCCACCTCTTTCCCACTAATCTAGTGTCTGGCCTACATTGTGTCTGGTGTCAGTGACCATTGACCCTGCCTTGTTCAGGGTCACTAATGGGATCCATTTGGCCAAATTCTGAATTTGCTCATCCTCTCAGTGGCTTTTGGCCCAGATATGCCTCCTCTCTTCTGTTAGCCCTCTCCTCTGGGGGCTTCTGTGACCCCCCCCCCCCCTTTCTCCTGATTTCCTCTAGCTTCATGGCTTCTCCAGTCATTCTCCTTTGCTACCTCCTTTTCCTCTAAATATTGGTGTTCTTAAGGTCCGGGACCTCTGCTCTCTCCTCATCCCTCCCTAAATTATGTCATCCTTTGCTGTAAATACCATCTCTAGGCAGGGGACTGCTAGAGTTATGTCCCCAGCTCTGTCTTCTGAGCTCCAGACTCATTCTATGGCCTTAATTTCTTAAACTGAATGATCAGATCACACCTCTTCCCCACCAAAAATAACTTCCAGTTCAGCCTGGATTCCTTTTCATCTTAGTATATAAGTAGTTCTTTCATTCATTCATTTCTTAAGCCAGACACCTCAGGGTCATTTTTGATTCCTCCCTTTCATACCCTCCCTTCAGTCCAGCAGTGAGTCCTGTTGGCTACCCAACAAATATTAGATATCTAGTAGATAAATGCTGGACGAATGACTGCATGAGCCCAACAGAGAAGAGTAATCAAATTTAAGATTAAACTTAAATCTGGTAGAAGAGGGATTCAGAGCTGTGTACACAGAACATACAAAATATCTACAAGTCCCTTTTTTTCCTAGATGAGCCATAATAACCCTGGGCACTGGATTCCATCCTTAAACATAGACAGTGTTACCTCATGAGACTTCCTTTAGGCAGTTGGTATCCATAGCAACCCTAATTCACAGGTACAACACAGCCCTTCTCAGTACTGGGTATTAAATCACATAATCTGACCAAAAAACCAAAGAGCAAGACAAGTCAAATCCTCACTCCCTCTATTCTTTAGAATCTTTACTTATAGAAACGCAGGATAGAAACTCCACGTGGTAGCATTCTAGATAGAATTTAGTCCCAAGGAACAACAATTTTGTCTTTGGCCTGTAAATGATGCCTGCCTCCATTTCTGCATGGAACACACGTTGAGAGAGGATCTCCACTCTGTGAGCTGGGAAAGATGCCCTCACTGAGTCCAGGGGGTCCACAGTGAACCCCACTGCAGGGCTCTTGTGCCTTCCTCACAAAGATGTTGGCCATCCCATCGAGCCAAGAGAAGGGTGAGAGCTTGATTCAGCTATCCTTTTCTACCAGCCACATTTAGCTTTAAGGGCTTGATAGCTAATAGCAATGCAAGCCCTGCTCCTGTGCCTTGAATCCATATTTGGCCGAGCCAGCAGCTGTTTTGTCCATTCAGCAATCTGTCCCCGGAAATGCAGTGTGAAACAAAGCACACTATAGGTCTTGAAAACTCCTAGAAACGTCCTTGCAGAAGCAGTCCTGTTTGGGCCCTCCGACAGACCTGTCTCCTCTTAGACAAACCTTACTGTTGCCAGCAAGAGGTTGCTCATTTGCTTTCTGTTACAGCAGCACTTCCTAAAATTTAGTCCACGAAGTGCTGGGTCCATGAGCTGTCCCAGGAAAGAGGGCATTCCATGGTCAAGTAAGTTTGGGAAATGCTGCCTGCAGGTGCTTCCTCTCCTCCCCCAACCCCACCCCCAACATCTCTTCAATGTAGCTGTTTGCACTTAACCTTTAACTAAGGGATTGTGGTGTTGACTTGGTAAACCCAGAGCAGCTCTTCTTAGCTTCATCTCAGTTCCTACCTCAAGTGAATCAGCAATGCAGCAAATTCAATGATAGAAGGTGGGTCAACCAATTCCTCCTTGAGAGACTTTCTAGTTAACTGATCACTGGGATGATTTCCTCAGAGAGGAACTATCCCAGGAAGCTGTATACATCTCTTCTTCCTCCCTACAGTTGAAACCAAAGCCAAGTATCCCTCTAACACCTGTTTTCTTCATCGGAGCTGTAAGTGGGATAGAATAATAGAACGGTAGTACATGACATCTTTGGTATAACCAAGGCTGGTAGGACGTGTCCTACCTGCAAGATTCTGTGATTAAGGAAGCTCCTAGATAGAGCTAGAAAACTTTTTCTAAGACTCAGCAGCTTCAGAAAGCTTCCCTGATGGGTGTGGTCAGGGCAATCCATTTTCAGAGAAATGTCACTTCCTGCTGTGTAATGGGATTTTTTTTATCTTCTGGATCATCACTAAGTGTGTTATGAAGTAAATCAAGTTCTTGGTAATGTGGTGTGACCACCTACTGAGTATATGCTTGTGAAAAATATTTATAATAACATATATTTTTCTGATTACAAAAATAATACTTGTTTATTGTAGAAGGTTTGGAAATTTTGGAAAAATAAAGTCACAGTCACCCCAAATCACATCTTCTGGAAATAACTACCATTCATAATATGGTATATTTTCTTCCAAGTATATATATAGCAGATCATAAGACATATCTGTATGTGGAATCATAGGGATAGAATCCAGAGATAGTTGGAGGAAAAGGGCAAAGAAAAGAAAGGGAAGGTCTGTTTGGCTTTCATATATTGGTAAATCAGATGAGTGCTTCTCAAACATGTCCATCTGTCTGATCAGTGTGGATGGCCTGCTGCCTCCACCCCTCGCTGTTAATTATTACTGATTTGTAGTCACCCCAGACAGAGGGAGGAGTTCACAGCTGAATGACCATCCCACATCTTTGAGCTTGGGGCCCTCGTTGAAACAGCTCAGCCCAAGAGAAATTAAGTTAAAAAGGGATTCTAGGTAACCTTGGATTTCCTTTTTTATAATTTTACATCTGCCCTCTTTGGTAAGATCTTTTGTAGTATTGGGACACTTGTTTGGTAAGGATGACTCTGTCGAAAGTTACTTCCTTTAAAATTAGTATTTGATGAAACATTGGTAACTCCTGCTGGGCTAACAGAATCTCCATCACAATAAAAGCCCATGTCTGAGGCAGGATCACAATCTCTGGGAACTGGGAAAGACCTAAGAGATCATGTGGTCTTTTGATTTCCAAAATTTGTATTTAGCAAAGGACCCTTTTTTATATGACCCCTTAAGCAGAACCCTGATATATAAGACTGACAGAACATATTTCTGTTAGACAAAACAGGGTTGAAACCTATGTTCTAGAATCACAGAATCCTCAATCACCCTGGCTACGGCAGTCCCAAGATGCTAAGGTGGACACTTGAGCCTGTGAGGAAGATGGTTTAAAAAAATACGAACCTGATCCTTTATTTTATTTTTAAATATATGTATTTATTTATTTATTTATTTATTTGAGAGAGAAAGAGAGCAAGCACAGCAAGGACAGGGGGAGAGGAAGGAAAAAGACTCCCCACTGAACATGGATCCCAATGCAGGGCTCCATCCCAGGACCCTAAGATCATGACTGAGCTAAAGGCAGATGCTCAACCGACTGAGCCACCCAGATCCCCACCTGATCCTTTATTTTATAGACGTGAGAACTGAGACCCATAAATGACCTTCCTAATGTCTGACAGGTGGCCAATAGCAATGAGGGGATTGGAACCCAGGACTACTGGGCCTGGTTCTTCTTCCGCAGTTTCATGGCCCTGAGATATTCCTTCCAGGGCCCAGGGGACCCCTACCCTGCCGACCCCCTGCCTGGGTTGTATGTGGAGCACAGGATCCATGACCAGCCTCTTAGCATAATTTGACTAGTCATTGGAACGAGACACTTGACCACCAGTAGTGTTGTCTTTGGGTGCGTGTTTAGTATGTGTATCTTTTTAAAAGTGTCAGTGACCATTTCCTCCCTTCTCATGACAAATAGAGTATCTTCGAAGCATATCCTTGCCTGTGCCTGTCCTGGTGGAGGACACGAGCAGCAGCAGCGAGTACGGCTCAGTTTCTCCTGACACAGAGTTAAAGGTGGACCCCTTCTCTTTCAAAACGAGAGCCAAATCCTGCGGAGAAAGAGATGTAAAAGGAATACGGACGCTCTTTTTGGGGTAAAGACATGACCAACTTTGGGTGAAAGAACTGTGTTGTGTGTCCTTTTATAAAGGACATGGCGATTTAAGCTATCTAAATTCTTCCAGCATTCCGGATGAAAATTTTGAAGATCACAGCGCTCCCCCTTCCCCTGAAGAAAAAGATTCTGGATTCTTCATGCTGAGGAAGGACAGTGAGAGACGTGCCACCCTTCACAGGATCCTGACAGAAGACCAAGACAAAGTTGTGAGAAACTTAATGGAATCATTGGCTCAGGTAAAACCTCTCATGGATCCTTCGTTTCCCAGAGTTAACGTATCTTAGCTGTGTCCTCACTGCTTGGAACTGTCCCAGGCAACGTGGAGCCTTGAGAAGGGTGTAGAGCTCTTGATGATGAATCAGACCTACCCAGGAGAGGTAAAAGGGAAATCCTTGATGTAGAAACTGCATTTTTGAACATAGCTACTTGTAAGTCACTAGCAACTTGCTCATGGCGGTGAAGTTCCAACCAGCCTGCAAGCCCCTGTTACACTCCGTTCATTTGTTTATCGATCGATCCACACGTACGCATTGAGCCTCGTGACTTCCTAATTCCGATGGTAGCACAAGGCTCCCTGCCGGTCTCCTTTGAGCATTTAGGAAATACTGCAGACTCAGCAAGGACCCCTGTGCTCGTGGGGCTACATCCAGATGGATGGAGGGTAATGGCCATAATAAGTAAATTATATAGTGTGTTGAAGGCTGTGTGTGCTGTGAAAAAAAAACTAAGCTGGTCGAACTCTCACTCCCTGGTATATTCGTTTGCTGGGGCTGCCGTAACAGAATCCCACCGGCTGAGTAGCTGAAACAACAGAAATTTATTTCTCACGGTTCTGGAGGCAGAAGCTCTGAGAGCGAGGTATCAGCAGGTTTGGTTTCTCCTGTGGCCTCTCTTCTTGGCTTGTCTGTGGCACCTTCTTGCCACATCCTTACCCAGCCTTTTATCCCTGTGCACCCCGGTGGGTGTCTTTTCCTGTTGGATTAGAGCCCCATTGTTATGATCTCACTTGACCTTAATTACCTCCTAAGATCCTTTCTCCAACCACAATCACACTGGAGGTTAGGGCTTCTGATTGGGGTCGGGGGGGACACAATTCAGTCCGTAATACCTGGGAAAATATGTTCCCTAGGATTCTGCTTATAGATACAAGGAATACAAAACCCCTCCCCAGTTTTGTCCCAGTAGAAATGAGGTTTCCCCCAGCCCCAGGCCTCTGGTGCTGCCTCCTGAGTTGGGAGCAGAAGCTCAAATCTCTTCAGGATGTCAGCCTCCACAGCCATGCTTGGCTTCAGACTTGATACTTGGTACTTTCTTTCAGTGGCATGGGCATTGGAGCTCCTGTGACCACCAGCTGGCTATGCCTTCTTTCCTACCTTCCGTCTTGGGTAAACAACTTCGGAAAGTGTGGAGCTAGAGGAGATGGATCAAGTTTGTCTCTCAGTCCAACCATCACCCTGTTCTCAGCTGTACTGGATGTAAACAGAGCAAGACTCTCTTTCTTGGCTCCTGTCTTTATCTTGAGAACCCCACAAAGTTTCTCTGCTGATTCTTTCTCCTTAGCAGTTCTCTAATGCCCACCTCTTTTGATCGCATAGGAAGAGTCAAGGCCACATGTGTGCCAGCAGTCTCTCTGGTATGAGGAGAACTGAGATGGGCGCCACCTACACTTTCTGGGAAGACCCTGCGTGGGTCCTAGAGAAAATCTACCTCAAGCAGTTCCTCGGAGGCCCAGGAAGTTGGGGCTCTGGGCTGAGGGGTGTCGGGGCTCTGAGCTAGAGTAGGGTGAGGGCTGAGGAGGCTGCACAGGAATGTGGGAGATGTGGACGAGACAGGAGCCATCTTGAACCTTCGGCTTTCTCTCTTCTCTTGCCTTCTGCTTACTCTGGTCATTCAAGGATCGGGGATTGGATGGCGTGAAATAAGGGGAATCAAATTTAGATGGAAGGAACAGCTGGGCAGCAGTTGGAGGTCATATATTCATTCAACAAATACTTATTAAACCTCTGCTGAATGCCAGGCACCCGTCTACTTGTTGTGGACATCACAGTGAACAAAACTGGGAAATAGAAATATCCCATTGAGGCTGGCATTCTAGCAGAGGAAGAAAAACAATAAATATTAGTAAATATTTCATAGTAGTAGTGGCACATCCGGTGACATAGTAATAATAGCAAACCTACAGTAATAATAGTAGTAACAGGAAACATACTCAACATACACTAATAACAGCAGATGCTTCATAAGGGCCAGTATTATTCTTAGTAGTTCAGGTGTATTTACTAACTCCAGCCTCGTGGCAATAGCACTATAGTAATAGTTCTGTTGTCCTCATCTTGCATACGACTCAGAGACACAGAGGAGCTGAGTAATTGCCACGACCACACAGCCCTAAGCAGCGGAGTCCAGATTTAGACCCACACAGTCTGGCTCCAGGGTCTGTGCTCCTAAGCACCACCCCACTCTCCTCCCTGGAAGACAGCTCCCAGATGCTGACAGGTGCTAGTGGAAACAGGAGGGACTGGTGCTTGGAGTGGGCGAAGGAAAGGAAATCTCCCTTCGCTGCTGTGGAGCGAAGCCCTTTCTGAACTGTAGCTGCTCGTGTCAGACGCCTGTTTCAGCTCCAAAATACGCAGAACGCAGGGATTGCCTAAATCTCATAATCACCCCTAGGGACGAGCTCTTCCAGCACAGAAAGCATCTGCTTGTTTGGGGTTTTTGAAGGTCCATCGGGCAGGACTGCCTCGGTCGTTGTCATGGTCCCGGCTCTTAGCACAGAGCCTGGCAAGAGACTTCCCTTCATGAGTGTGCTGAAATTCTGAACATTTCGCAGTTTGTTAATCCTATTCAGTCGTCTGTGGCCCCCTGGTTTTTTCAGCGTGCCTGAGTGTTCTCTATAAAAGGAGAAAGAAGAAAAAACTCAGAGGGCATGCCTTGGTGCACCGGCACAAAGGGACCAGTGAGGACCAGAAACTATGGGTCAGAGTAACGTGCTGCATCTCAAATCATCCAGGGATAGCAAGGGTCCTTCTGATTGTATCGCTAAGGGTGCTTGCTGTGAATCCCTTGGTGGCGTGGCGATAGGTTCCGATTCAGGCTCACTGCCCGCTCTTCCAGCCAACCGAGGCAAGAGAAGGCAATGATGAGGAGTCTGGGCTCGGCCTCAGCTTTCCTCTGCTGGAGGCCTGGCTTTACTGTTTATTAGCAGGCTGTGCAATTTGGGCAAGTTATTTAACTTCTCTGAGGCTGATTTTCTAACCTACAAAACAGAGGAAATGCCAGTATCTACCTCGTGGAGTTTCTGTAAGGAATAACCAAGATCATGAGCAACTGAGAGACTAATAGAGTGTTTCACAAATGTTAACTATCATTATTGCTGTTGTGACCATTATCAAGCAGGCTAATCATAGTTGTCTAATCTCTTTACGTTTTTTCTACAACCAGATGTAAATAATTCTTTTCGCAGTGTTAAATATCTCTGGATACACCTTTACCTTTAAGCCCACCCCCCTTTTTTTAAAAATTTTTTTGAAATTCTTTTTTTAAGATTTTATTTATTTATTTGACAGAGAGAGATCACAAGTAGGCAGAGAGGCAGGCAGAGAGAGAGGAAGAAACAGGCTCCCCGCTGAGCAGAGAGCCCGATGCAGGACTCGATTCCAGGACCCTGAGATCATGACCTGAGCTGAAGGCAGAGGCTTTAACCCACTGAGCCACCCAGGCGCCCCCAAGCCTAACCTTTTTTAATAAGACCAAAAGTACTGCTGTCCCAAGGCAGCCCACAAAAGCCCTTTGGACTCATAACATCCTTCTGAAATTCACTCATCATTTCTGAAGAGGTTTAAAGGATAAAGAATAGAGCACGCCTTCGCAGCAGAACCTGGACAGTGCTGTGCTCAGGGAAGGTGCACTGTAAAGGGCAACCTTTGGATGCCGAATCTGCGTCCTTGATACGGGAGATGCTCGTAACGTAAGGACGTTCAGGAGTGCGCGTGAACACAGGATTTAGAACAGAAGCCACGATCATGTAAGTGGATGAACCACTACAGACAGAAAACATTTCCCAGAGCAGACAGTGTTCCTTTGTAGGACAGTGGCACACACGTCAGAAAACCAGAAGCAACATGTTCATCTATTGTGAAAACGAAGCTAATGTCAAAAAAATGTTTGCTATTTCAACTGCTGGCAAACATGGAGCTGATTCTTCACTAAGATAAGCTTCCAATTTCTGAATAACTCACATTTTTCTTCTTGAACATATTTTCATGTTATTATGATATTGCCTGTGAATCTTTACTTTGGGTGTAATTTAGTTGGTGGTAAGAAAAGAAAGTTTATAATTGTTCCCAGTCTCGTTCTGATTCCCTTAATGACAGCTTTCAAGCTTTTCAATATAATCTTGTCTCATGAAAACATAAACACGAGAGGGAGCTCCCAAATGAAACCATACTGAGGGAGAGAACTTGATGGTACATTGATTGTAATAGAATCCTAGAAATTGTAATTATCACAGCCTGATTGAGGAATTTAATTTTAATGACACGGTAACAAAATTGTATAATAAGAGATAGAAATGAGCATAATAAAAATCTTGTTTCTTAAAGTTAAATGAGGATAAATAATACCCTACCATGTTTCCTTTGAGAAAAGGAACCCGTTTAAATATCGTATTACATGTTTAATATATAAACGTGTCCATTGGTTCAGTCTTACAACCAATTACCTCATCGGTGGGTAAGGAATTGTTTTAAGTGAAAGGCATCAACACATTTTAAGGGCAGTTAAAGTTCTGGGGGGCACATTGTAGGTGGCATCTCGTACCTGAAGGAGGTGGGGTCTTAAGGAATTCCAACCCTAGTGCCTAGCCGAGCCCCACAGAGACTGAAACTTGTGTGTGTTTCTGATTACTTCGTATTCCGAGAGTTTGTACATCTCTTCTCAGCTTTGGCTGCTTTTGGCCCCCTTAGCATGCCATTTCTATTTCTGTCCATTCCCTTCTCCTCTCCATGTAGATAGTCACTCTCAATCCCATTGATTGTACTCTCCCTTCTTTACAACTAAAGGTACTCTTGCTGCTATCTTTTGACTTGTCTCTCTGGGCCAACTTTGAGCTTAAGATCCTATGGCTCCTTGCCTGTTCTCTCTTTAGTTCCCCATTAAAATTTCTGAGAGGTATTACCTCAGCCTGTCCCTGTTTGGGGAAAGCTCTGTATATCTGACTAAATCATAGCTGTTGGCCGAGGTGTCAGTAGGTACTCTTCCTCCCAAAGTCTGATTATTTCTTGGGTGGTTGGTGGGGCTGGTGAGGCATAGAGTTCCAATATGGCCTCTTCCCTTTAGTGGGGGCGTTTTGAAGCCCAGGTCCCAACAGAGGCCGTGGGAATGGCGGGCTCATGACGAATGTGTCTAGCACAGATCAACTGACAGGTTTTATTCACAGGGGGCTGAAGAACCTAAACTAAAATGGGAACATATCACAACCCTCATCGCAAGCCTCAGAGAATTTGTGAGATCCACGGACCGAAAAATCATCGCCACCACACTGTCCAAGCTGAAGCTGGAACTTGACTTCGACAGCCACGGCATTAGCCAGGTTCAGGTGGTGCTCTTCGGTTTTCAAGACGCTGTAAGTATGATATTTTGCCTATGTCCTTCCCAGACCCCCAACGAAAATTAGAAAAACAGGTTAAAACGTTAAGTTCTGTTATCTTTTGTTTCTTTACTAAGTCTGATGACCTCTTCTTTTTCGATGGTGAGTAAGTGTGAGCTGGTTCCTCTCTGTGTGCTTCTAAGGAGCGGATTTGTTGCTATGTGTTTGTATCCCGCAAAGTTGGATACCCATGAAATCGAACTCCGTGGGAAAGAGCAAAAACTAACAAACATCTCCCGTGGCTGAACTCTGTTCTTATGAGATCTTGTAGCGGGTCACTGTTTTGGTGACTTGCCACGGAACTCGTTTTCCTCATGCACTTTTAAATTCTGTACGAGAACTGCCACCTAGTGGTCACTTGGGAAAATGCAACCATGCGGATTGGAATGATCGCCCCTGAATAAATCCAGTGCTTCCCCCCGCCCCCCCACCGCCTTTTTCTCTGGTTTCCATACCCAACACTTTAAACACGTTTGTTTAGTACACATTAATTCCTCACTGAATGAAAATTAATCCACGAGAGATTGCTGAAGACTCCAGCCTCTCAAGTAGGGTTGCTATGCAACATCAACTAGACGGCCAGTCTTTCTAAAGCCTGAATCAGCACCGGAGGTGCTCTTTGTCAGTGAGACTGATCTGTGGAACTCTGTACCAGAGAAGCCTGAAGCCACTCCTAGGCCTTCGAGGCCTTCGCAGAGTGCAGGAGACTGAAATAAGAGAGTTCCTGGCAGTGTCTGGTGTAAATACAAAAGCACTTTGCACGAAGGGATTTAAATTCCCCAAATTAACTCACTGCTAACGTATGTATTTCTCCTGCGTAGATGTCTTGGCAGTTGTATTTGGCACATCAAATGATCCCTCATTTAAAACCAAAGTAAATCCTTTAACAGCCACTCACGTTCTCTGAAACTCTATGTAAGCCCCTTGGTCTTTGTGCCGTGCTGTGGTCAGGGACAACACTCCTGACTTGATTGAGGTCATGGTTGATGAAAGCAATGGGCGGCGCCTATCACTAATAGTTAAATGCTAAAGGCACACTTCACTGCAACTAGGGAAACCTAACCATCTGCAAATAGAAGGAATTAATTTATTGATTTTGCACTTGCCCGCACATTTGGCTTCCAGCCTAGAGGCTGGAAAACAAATTGACCAGTAGAATTCAGATTGAGTGGTGTAGTTTTAATTGTGGGCCTTAAGCCCAGGTCACTCTCTCTGTCTCTGTCTGTCTCTTGCTCTCTCTCTCTCTCTCTCTCTCTCTCTCTCACACACACACACACACACCTGCTATTGCTCACTCACTATCCAGGATGGGAGTGAACCCAAAGAATGTACCCCGTTTAATGAAGAGCTACGGGGAGTTATGTAACTATCCTCATAGTTATGGAGGATCCCCTTCCATCTCGTGTGACACAGGAGAGAAATTTCTAGTTTACTAAATGCTATACCTTACATTAGTCAAATAAGCAGGCAGATCCTTTAAGAAATGAAGGTCTGAGAACAAACTCATTCTGAAAGGATGTCTTAGAACAAGTGTGAGCCTGCCAATGGTTCACTTCCTTTTGGGAGCAACTACTATGGGGATTTTGATGAAGACAGACCAAGGGCAGGAGTAAGCAACTGGAACTCCAGCTTTTGGCCTGGGATTGCAGCTGGGGCATCTTCTCCATCGAGTCTTCTCAATTCTCTGGTCAGAGACCAGACCTTTTTTTAGAGGGTCGTGTCGACCAGCAGTTAGTGGAGTTAACCCCAGTTTTAAATAAGCTTTTCTTATGTCTTTATTTTAATGGTTATTTTTAAAAAGATAACACATATGGCTTACACATGCAATGGGATATTATTCACCCTTGAAAAAGAAGAAAATTCTAGCACATTATACTACGTGAAATAAGCCCATCTCAAAATTACCACGTGATTCCACTTATATGACAGACCTAGAGGAGTCAAATTCATGGAGGTGGGAAGTAGAATGGTGTTCACCAGGGGCTGGGAGGGGAAGGCAGTGGGGAGTTATTGTTTAACAGGTGTAGAGTTTCAATTTTGCGAGGTGCAAGCAAGGAATTCTAGAGATGGATGGTGTGATGGTTGCACAACAGTGTGAATGTACTTAATGCCACTGAATTATATGCTTAAAAGTGGTTAAGGTGGCAAATTTTATGGCATGTGTATTTGATGACAGTTTAAAAAAAGGTAATGCATGTATCTATTTCAGTGTCTATTTAAATATGTGAACTAGTAGTAGTCACTAAAAAAAGATACCCTTTACCACAGACTTTCAATGTGAACAGCCTTTCTGGAATATTCTAGCAGGTTCCTCCCCTGTTTGCTGAGATATAGACAACTGTGGGAAGGAAGATAAGGCATGCACTGTGGCAAATCTGTAGGTAGCAACACACATGTTCATTTCCTCCCTTACCTGCTTTTCCAAGTCACCAGACTAGGCTGAAGCATGTGGTTATATGAAACCTCAGAGTCACAACACTAGAGACCAGTGTTTGTTTTTATTTCAAACCCATTAGATTCTTTTTTCCTCCTTTACCACCTCCACCATCCAGTTTGCAGAGGCCATGAAAAGCCGAAGTAGCTTGTTCTGAGTTCCAAAGAAGCCACATTTCATTTAACCAGACTGCCTTTGATTTGCTCCCATGGGGATCACCAGACTTTGATTCCAAGTGGCCATTTTTCATTGTTTCCCAGTGACATAAAGAAATTATGCACAATTCAAGGTGAAGAAACCTTTTAGTTGTTGTTGTTGCTAGAATGTCATCCTGATGCTTGTGTCATCTAGGTTATTTGCAGTTAAAAATTAAAGCAGACTAAATGTCACCCTCTTTCTCCAGGTCAATAAAGTTCTTCGGAATCATAATATCAAGCCACACTGGATGTTTGCCTTAGACAGTATCATCCGAAAGGCGGTGCAGACGGCCATCACCATTCTGGTGCCAGGTCAGGAATATTTAGTTACTTGGCAAATATTTAGTGTGTGACATTTTAAATTACTATTGATCTGTCATTTATGGTGTCTTTCAGGCCAAGTTAGCCTTTTTGTTTAATCCTTTTAAAGCCACCGAATAATATTTATCTAGTGCCTCCAGTCTAAGCAATGAACACCAAGCCAAATGTCTACTATGGGTGAAGAAGATAGCTTCCTTGTCTTTAAAGAACGTGTCTGGGTATGGCGAGAAAGAGGAGGTTATGCGGGACACCCAAACACATATGCACTTCAATATGCAGATACTTGTGCCCACAAAGCACACCCTTGTGTCATCCTTTACTGGTGGTTCCCAAACCAGCTGGTGCACTGAGGGATGTCAGGAGCTCTTTAAAATTATAGCTCTCCAAGCCCCATCGCAGACTGAGTGAGTAAGAATCTGCTGGGAAAAAAGCCCAGGAATCTGATTTTAATCCAGTTCCCAGGTCATTTTGATACACAGCCAGGTTTGGAAATCACTGGTCTAGACAGATCCCAGCTATGCTTGCAATGAGGTACAAAAGGGGTAGTGTTGATGAAACAGAGTTTTATGGAGTGAGAGGCACATTCATACTCCAAGGCAAACTTCCAAGTACTTTTGATAGTGTATTCACTAGTAAAACATTTTAAGCAGAGCTCTTCCATCCTATATGTGTGTGTGGGAGGGTGTGTGTGTGTGTGTGTGTGTGTGTGTGTGTGTGTATAGAGATGATAAGTAGATAGATAAACAGATTTAGATACATAAATTAGAAATATGTTGTACTAATTTATGCATGTATTATAAAGCAGTCTAAAATAGAAGTTTGAAAGGATTAGATAATGAAGTATCTTAAAATTTAGGTTATTTATTTACATGGCACCACAAACTTAAATCATCGCCAGCCTTCTGTGTTGTGGAATTCCCTCTCTTCTCTCAAAATATCTTGTTTGAGAGTGAGGGCACATGTGTCAAAGTTTATATGAAACCTCAGTAAAGATTAATTTATTTCCTTCTTCTGTAAGAAAGAAATATGGGAAGTTCCAATATCCCCGAACACGCTGATCCTCTACTCAGACCACACCTCCACCCCCTCATTGCTCTTGCCCTGTTCCTTCTCATTCTTCAGGTCTCCGTTTAAAAGTGCCTCCTCAGACAGTCCTGACCCACCACGCAGTCTAAAGTAGGCTCCACTGCTATTCTGTCTCCTCGGAAGTGCTTTCCCCCATTTGTGATGCCAGTTTGAAACCGCCGTTATTTTCCTGTCTCGTGGCTGTCACCCTCACCGAGGGTAACCATGTCCGCTTTATTCCGTGCAGAGCATATTGTCCAGCACGGTGCCTGTAAATCAGTGGACCCCTGATAAATACGAGTTGAAATAATACATAAATGAGTTTCACCTGATTATAACAAATGAGGGTAGAAAATTTGCATAACTTAGAAAAAATTCTAGAGGCATGGAAACACGTAATTAGCGACTGGATGTGAACCTAGGGAAGGTAATGCTAGTGTAGACCTAATGTAATGCTCTAACCAAGTTAACAGATTCTTGTATTTTCGGGAATATGTCATTGGGATAAACCTGGATGTGAGGAATATACCCTAGAGGGGTTATATATTCAGAAGATAGGAGGGGTGAAAGGAACTAGGTGTGTATTAGTGAAAGGGATAGGTGTAGGCATAAGTTAAACACAGTAGCGATCTAAATGAGCAAAGGAGAGAGGGATTATACCTTGAAATATTTAAATAGCATATAAATGATCTGTTGATCTAATTTTTTAAAACTTCCCTTTAAAAATGGATTACCTAAATGCAATGGATTATATCCTGGCATAGAAAAAAAAAATCAGTGAAAAACTTGTATAATCTGAATAAAGTCTGTAGTTTAGTTAATAGTATTGTACCAGTGTTAATTTCTTGGTTTTGATGAGTATACCAGTTATATAAGATGTATTAGGGGAACTGGAAGGTGTATGGGAATTCTCTGTATGACCTTTGCAATGTTTCTATAAATGTAATACTCTTCCCAAAATCGGAAGTTTAAAAAGCACACTGATCATCATACGGTAGTTGAAACACTGGTAAGTTTAGGGAGAGTGAAGAGAGGCACATCTTCTGCTCACATGGGTGTCTCGGGGGTATGAGGGTGGGGCACATTGGTGAGCACTGCTTCTACTCAACGTGTGTATGGAACAAGCCATGTTCTTTAAGAAGAGGGTTTGCTAAGGAAAGCTATTTGTCCTTCCACTGTGAAATTGTTTGAGGACATTAGGAGTCTCAGATGAAAACCCAAATTACTGTTCGCAAGCATTTTTAAGTAGAAATTTTGGAGAATTACTGGAGGGAGTATTTTTTATATTCCTCCTAGGAAAGGGGAAGACCATATACATTTGTATACCAATATATAAATAATGAAATGTGTGACCAAGAGGAATTGATTTCAAGCACTTGAGAGTTCCATCTAATTTCTGAATGTTCCTAAAGATTTTGTTATACAATTGAGATTCAAAGACACTTAAACATTCAAACAAATGTTAAAAATGCTTGTCTTCGTCTTCCCCTGATAAAAATTCCTTCTAGGTGACAAAACAGTACAATTGGCCTACAAAATTTTGAAACACATGCTAAAGAAAACCACAGATTTAAAAGTATGTCATCATCAGTGCATGCATGTCCTAGGTCTCTCCTCCGAGAGGACCCAGATCTTAGTATCTAAACACCATTCTCCAATAAAAGCAATCAGTGCTCCCTGGAGTGACAGTTGATTCCAGACCTGGGGCAGGGAAAATATACATGAGCCTAGAACATCCTGTGATGCCAAAAAGGATGGAGGCTTTTTGAAAGGACACTGGAGACCACACCCATTTGAAGGAGTTCCCGAAAATCTAAGCCAGAACAATTTGAACAATAAAATAATAATAGTCTTGGGTTATAGTATATAGAATAAACTAAGTATCTGTAAGTCTATACTGAAATAATTGAATAAATAAGTATATGAAGGAGAAGAGCCAGATCTTTGTTATAGAATTCCAGTTAATAAATGTAGAAGGTATGAGGAGAATAGACAATCACCATTAGGCAAACAGCACATTAATAATTATTGTAGGCAAGAAGCATCAATGGGTGCTAAAATTAGTAGGCAAAAGAGTAATGAGAAATAGGGATTTGAATGGCCACACAGTGTCTGCCCACAAGATATTTACTAATTTCAAAGGGAAAACAGTGATTTTACAGTGAAGGAAACTGACAGACATGTCCTGTACTAAATGATCAAGGTCAGCATCACTAGGAATAAGACATCAGGATCTTGTACGCCCTGACATGATTCATTTAGTAGTACACAACATCGCCTTTGTGCAATTCTTGCCAAAAATGCATAGTCTCAACTTCATCATGAGAAGACATTGGTGAACCCCAAACAAGGGTCATAGTACCAAAATAACTGACCAGTACTCCTCAGAAGTGTGGAGGAGGTCGTAGGAAACAAAGAAATACCTGGGTACTGTCTCAGACTGGAAGAGACTAAGGAGACATGATGACCAAATGCAGTATGGGATTCTGCTTCAGAAGAAGGGCATTAGGGGTGCCTAGGTGGCTCAGTCAGTTAAGCATCTGCCTTCAGCTCAGGTCACGATACCAGGGTCCTAGATCCAGCCCAGCATCTGGCTCCCTGCTCATCAGGGAACCAGCTTCTCTCTGTGCATCCCTCTGCCACACCCCCTGCTTACATGCTCTCTCTGTCTGTCAAAATAAATAAATAAAATCTTAAAGAAAAAAAAAAAGAATGAGGGCATCATCGGGAAACCTGGTGAAATTCAACAAGGTCTGTAGATTATGTAGTGTATGATAGCAATGTCAGTTTCCTGGGTTTGGTCCTAGTACCACAGTTGCATAAGATGTCAAGTTTAGGGCAAGCTGAAGGGTATACAGGAACTCTCTGTATCATTTTTGAACTTTTTTGTTATTCTGCCATTCTTTCAAAATTGAAAAGTAAAAAAAAATTTAAAAGTATTCAATCCTTCTCCCAGAAGAGCACACAGAACAGAGAGTACAGTGCAAACCCCTTAAGAGTTTTTCTTTTTTTTTACTCAGGCTCTTTTCTCACTTGTCATCAGGAATCAGCCTGGCTGTGGGTGACCAGATGGAGAAATGCTGAGTATAGAGACCATGTTGGCAATGCCAAGAGAGAATTGATAATGGAGGCATACTAACTACATTAACAATAATTTTTAATGCTAAAATATTTGATACTATTACCAGTTCAGCTAAACTACTCATGTGCCCTGTGTCCACATGAAAGTAAAATGACCAGCATTCTGTACCATCTGAACTTACGGTGGGAGTCATACTCTGCACTGACAAGGACTGTAATCTTCTTCGGTGTCAGAAATACCCTGTGTTAAAGAAGCTGGGTCTGGTTCCTCTGGGGAAAGAACCGATTGGAGTGGTGTCTGGGGGCAGGGAAGTAGGAAGAGTACTGCGGTTTGAGTCCATCTTGCTGTATTGGAAACAGGCACCAGCTCTAGATTCCCACACATGGGCTTAAATACCACCTGCTCATTAAAGGCCCCCCGTTCCAAACCCCGGGTCCCTGCTTTTCTCCTCACACTTCTCGCTCTCTCTTGACAGCCCATTCTGCCTTCCATTCTTCTCAGGGGGCTCTGGACCACCATTTGAACTTCCTTCTCTCAAATGCCACTGCCCCTTTCCCCTCCAAGCAAGGCGTTCCCCTCCTCCAGAATCCTGCTTAAGCTCTTCTGCTTCCATGATTCAATCCCTGAGCAAACCACCACTGAATTTGGTTATTGCAAATGTTCTTTATTTACCTCTTAGCATTTTTAATACATGCACATGTGAATTATATGTGTAGCTAGGTCTATAACTGAGATCATCTAAGACATTTTTAGCTGCTTTAATTTGTGCTTATAATTCCACGTCATCTCTGTGCCTGCCCTTACGGCTCTTCTGTATATTCCTTCTGGCTCTCCTTTAGGTTGTTACTTCTTTGAGGACAAAGACCAGTTGCTCCATCCACTTGCATATTTTACAGTGTGGAATTTGGTGATGTATAATCAGGGAGCTGCCACAAAAGACCAAAATAACAAAGTATTGCATTTGCTTACAATTTTCTACTTTCTTCAAATTATTTGAGAGAATTTTTCAATCATTTGTACATACATAAAATAACAAAATGTAGAGTTAGGGCTATATGAGGGGGTATTTAAATATAATAGTAAATATCAGAACATTTCCCTCCCCAAACGTGAGATAATAGTCAACAGCACAACAAAACTTTTTAATTGTTTTTAAAATTTCAGTTTGGGGGCGCCTGGGTGGCTCAGTGGGTTGAAGCCTCTGCCTTCGGCTCAGGTCATGATCTCGGGGTCCTGGGATCGAGCCCCGCGTCGGGCTCTCTGCTTGGCGGAGAGCCTGCTTCCCCCTCTCTCTCTGTCTGCCTCTCTGCCTACTTGTGATCTCTGTCTGTCAAATAAATAAATAAAATCTTAAAAAAATAAAAAAATAAAATAAAATAAAATTTCAGTTTGGATACCATAAAAGAAATTTAAGAATAATTTTAGAAAATTTTAAAAGGCCTAATCTTATGTTCTAACTTAAGTTAGAATTGCTCTTTCTTCTTTTTTCTTTTTTTTTTTTTTTAAGATTTTAAAATTTATTTTAGAGAGAGAGAGAGAGTGGGGGTGGGAAGAGGAAGGGCAGAAGAGAATCTCAAGCAGACTCCTGGCTGAGCACAGAGCCAGATGCAGGTGGTGCCATCTCAGGACCCTGAGATCATGACCTGAGCCAAAATCAAGAGTTGGATGCTTAACTGACCAAGCCATCCAGGTTCCCTAAGTTATTTGTAAAGTGAAATTTTTAAAAATTATTTGGTTCTCTTATAAATACAAATAATCCTAGTATTATAACTCTTCCATTTTGTCTACATTTCTTAGACTAATGTGTCCTAATCTCTGCACTGGATTCTGGGTTTGCAGCACTAAAACCCCTGATTTTGAGCCCTCTCCCCTTCTGTAGATGAGTTAGGAAATGGAATTTTGGAAAGAGATAATGTAGAAAGCAGAGTAGAGGTGGGACTTTGTTAACCTTAAGAGATAAAGAACAAGGATGTAGAGAGATTAGAACCCTTGTACACTCTTGGTGAAATTATCAAACAGTAGAGCCACCGTGGAAAATAGCCTAATGGCTCCTCAAAAAATTTAAAACTAGAATTGTCATACGAGGGTGCCTGGGTGGCTCAATCGGTTAGGCATCTGCCTTCAGCTCGGGTCATGATCTGAGGTGCTGGGATCAAGTCCCGCATTGGGCTCACTGCTCAATGGGGAGTCTGCTTCTCCCTCTCTCTCCCCTTCTGTGTTCTTTCCTTCTCAAATAAATAAATAAAATCTTAAAAAAAAATAATAATTGTTATATGATCCAGCAGTTCCTCTACTGGGTATATATCCAAAGAAAGAATTAAAAGTAGGATCTCAAAGAGATATTTGCATACCCACATTCATAACAGCATTAGTTACAATAAACCAAGAGGTGGAACCAACACAAGTACCCACCGACAAATGAAAGGATAAACAAAATGTGGTCTATACATGCAATGGAATATTATTCAGCCTTAAAAAGGAAGGAAATTCTGATACATGCTACAACATGGATGAATCTTAAGGATATTATGCTGAGTGAAGTAATAAGCTTGTCTCAAAAAAGACAAACACTGAATGATTCTCCTTTTATGAGGTATCATAGTAGTCAGACTCACAGAAACAGAAAGTAGAATGGGGGTTGCCAAGGACAGAGGGTAGGGGGAAATGGGGAGTTGGTATTTCATGGGTATAGAGTTTCAGTTTTGCAAGATGAAACTTAACAAAAAGTTCGCAACTTTAAAACTAGCTCTGGAGAGTGAGTTACACTACTGAACTGGATACTTAAAAACGGTGACAGTGGTAAATTTTATGTCATGCATTTTTTGCTACAATAAGAAGTGAGAAAACTAATAAAGAGAGATCAAGGAAGTCAGAGCTGCATAAACCTGGCCCCTGAAGAAGGGCACCCTGACTTTTATTATGAGCAAGAGATGAGGGTTTTTTTTTTTAGATGGTTGAATCTAAAATGCCTGCCCAGCAAGAATATCTAGGAGGTATTGGATGTAACCAGATCAAGTCTTGAAATATAGTTGGTCGTTCACACATTACAAGTACTTAACCTTGATAGATTTCAATGAGCTTAGCTATAGTAAATAGAAATATAAAAAAGTGAAGGATAGAATTCCAGGTTCCAGCTCTTAAGGGGCAGACGGTAGATTTTAAAAAAAGAAAAAAAAAGATCTGAAAAGAAGTAGCAGCCAGAGATTTAGAGGAAAATACCATACACAGATCTAGTAAGGGAGGAAAGAAAAGAGAATTTGTTAACTAGTCAGCCTTTGGTTGCCGTGCCCTGGTGGCTAGATTGGGGGTGGGATGGGGTCTTCTGTCACTCCCCCTGGAGCCATCTCCCCACCCAGGGGCTCTTAACCTGTGGGTTCATGGACTCTCTGAACAAGCTTCAGGGTGTCTGTGAGCCCTCAGGATATCGAGGCAAAATGTTGGATGACTGTGCCTTTCCTTGACAGAGACTCTCCATGGTTTTCATCATGTGTCATAGCATATGGAGTCAAGATCCAGTATTTCTGCTACCCTGACTTCACTTAGATTATGAGTGTAATTCCTTTTTCTAGTTCATTTTGAGACCATAATCACAATTTATAGTATTGTTTTCTCTGGGAAGATATCATCCAGGTTGTTAAGTGACATGCAGATAAACTTATGCGACATATTTAAGTTGGAGACTTATAACGTTTGCATTGTTAATTTCAGTGGTTAGTCAACAGGGTAGAGAAGGACTCACACTAAGAATCCAGTAGTCAAAAACAGTCTTATTAGAGTGAATATAAGCACATGTGGCATTTTCAGGACCTCCTCCATCCCCTTACACTTTAACCATTACAGGCAAAAAGTATTCTATGAATTTACTTTTATTTAGATAATCTCACTATATTTCATTTTCCTCATTCTAAGTGTGTTAATAGTTGCCAGATATTATATAATACAAAAAAATTAATTTTACTTGTATAAACAAATGTTTATATTAAGAGGTTTTTATATAATTCCCTTTCTGATTTTAGCATTTTCCCACATATCTTTTTCCCCCCTAATTTGTCAGAGAGAGAGAGAGAGCACAAGAGCGGGAGCAGCAGGCAAAGGGAAAAGCAGGCTCCCTGCCGATCAAGGAGCCTGATGCAGGGCTTGATCCCAGGCCCCTGAGATCATGACCTAAGCCCAAGGCCATTGCTTAACCAACTGAGCCCCCCAGGTATCCCCCCACATATCTTGTTTATTTTATTCTGTTTACTTGAGAGAAAAAGAGAGAGCGTGCACAAAGGGAGAGGCAGAGAGAGAAGCAGTCTCCCCAGTGAGCAGGGAGCCTGACATGGGGCTCAATCCCAGGACCCTGGGATCACAACTTAAGCCAAAGGTAGATGTTTAACCAACTGAGCCACCCAGGCACCCTTTCCCACATGTCTTCTGTGTGGTGTGGCCGTTTTTCTCTTGTTTGAATTAGGTCATTCTGAGTTAATAGATCCTGTGAATTTTTAGATTCACTGGAAGAAAAACTATAAATTAATGCTCAGAAATCTATCCCTACATTTGGAAAACCAGTTTGGAATACATATCTTACTGATAGCAGGGAAGAGGACATTCATGTCAGAAGAAATTAAAGCAATCAGTCATATTTTATTAACACTGTTGTTGATGTTATGCCTCACAGAACTGAGGCCACACTTCAGCCTCGCATCTGAGAGTGATACCGCTGATCAAGAAGACTTGGAGGCAGAAGATGACCATGAGGAACGGCCTTCGAACCAAACTATCCGAAGACCTCATGCTGTCATTGAAGATGCTGTAGCTACCTCAGGGGTGAGCACGCTCAGTTCTACTGTATCCCACGACTCCCAAAATGCCCACCGGTCCCTCAATGTGCAACTTGGAAGGATGAAAATAGAAACTAATAGGTAAGTCCTCTTCTTACGTGGGTGGGCTTTCTTTCCCTTACTTTTATATAAGTGCATGTGTTTGAGGTCTATCTTAAAGTTTGGTCCACAGACGGGGCACCTGGGTGACTCAGTCAGTTAAGCATCCAACTCTTGATTTTGGCTCAGGTCATGATCTCAGGGTTGTGAGGTCCAGCCCTGCACTGGGCTCCGCACTGCACTCCACACTGGGCATGGAGCCTGCTTAAGATTTTCTCTCTTCCTCTGCCTCTCTCTCTCCCCCAACCTTCAATAATAATAATAAAGTTTGATCCAGAGAATACAAAATGATTCATCACTTTATCCTATTCACGTAAACTTGGTTTGATATCTTTCTTTATCAAACAAGAGAGATTTGTCTTAGTCTCTTTAGTCAAAATCATTTTCTGTTTCTACAAATTCAAGCCTTGTTTGGCAGCATTCTTTGATCCCTACTTTTTCTCCAAGTACAGTGAGATTTTCGAAGTAGCTGTAACTTCAGAGACTCTCTTGGACACAGACTCAGAGCAGTGTGTACCATCCCAGAAAACAGCTGAAAGACAAAATCCATGTTCTTGAAAGCCCGTGATCTGGAATATCAAGTTCTCTTAGAAGAGGAAGACTCTGTTCTTGAGAGTAAATTTAGTGATGCTAAAGCTTTACTTTTCTTAAAAACAAAACAAACAAACAAACAAAAACAACCTTGAAAGGATGATAAATTGACTGCATTTGTGATCCTGTTTTATTTTGAATATGTTCTGTCGTATCTGGACTTTAATTTCCCTTTGAGAATTTGGTGACATAACATCCACATGATCGGGTTATTAAGTGAAGAGTAAATATTTCCTGTTCTTTACAGATGTTGGCACAGTTCAAGTTCTGAGTCTATGATTTATAGCTTCCTGTGCTGGCTGCAGTTGACGTGATCAACCAACTTTACAACTCTGGGCTTATAGTGAAACACTTCTTTTTTTTTTTTTTTGGAGTGAATTAATACCAGTTATTCAAATATTTACTTAAAAATCTTGCTCACCAGGAAGATAAAACATATTTTACTTCTTGTCATAAGTTTAAGTTTTTAAAGTTAAGCTTGAATACCAAGCTTAGTACAAGTAGTACAAAGTTCATCTTATATTCAGAAACATGAATTTTGTTTGCATGATTGAGTAAATCCATTCATATCATCTACCTTTTTCATAGAGAAATCTTCCTGAGTAAGGGGGAAATGGCTTTTGGACTTCCAGATCCTAATCTTGTCCTGGTAAAACCAGCTTTTAGTTGGCTCTCTACTACTTAGTGGAAGACTTTGTGTCTTTCCTCCTCTGAGACTTCCGTGGAAATCCTCATTGCCTCCTCTTCTCAAGCAATACACCAACCTTGGTAGTAGGTGTTAACTTTAGTTGTTTTTTAGTTTACTCTCTGTCACCCAGCTCTAGATGGAGTTGTTTTTATACCCCTCTCTGATCTCTGGAGGATGAATGTTCACTCGATCTGGTTTTGTCGCCAACTCCTCCTCCACCCATGGTCAGAATTATAAAGGCAATAAAGCTACTTTATTTACCAATGAGCTGGTATATTTGTTTCTCTGGCCTTCAAACCTTCTGTCTATAGACCCTGGCTTGTGTCAATAGAACCTGCTTTGCTGCCTGCAGCCTCTCCCTTTTCCCCTTAGACCATTGGAGTTAGCTCCATTTCCATGCTGTCCCGCCCTCTGCCGCGCTTGCGCCCTCTGCAGGCCGGGAGGGCTGCTCTTCTGCGCAGCCGCGGGCAGAGGCCCTGCTTTCCACATCTCTGTTTGAAGGGCTACGACTGGCTGCATTTCTTTATTGTGTTCCTGTATTTTTCACAACAGCCCACATTCGTGTGTTTTTTTCTCTACATATTTACCCTTGTGTCTGTGACGTCTACGGGATTATGAGCCTCCTTTTTCTGTTTCTAGTAATATCTTGCACAGCTCCTCCCTGTCACCCCCAGAGAAGGGAGGCGAGGCACAGCATTCACCTCATGGCGTGATGTTAGAAAAGGGCAGCTGCCTTAGTACTGGTACTAAGCAACGGAAATGAGAGGCGAATCATGTCCGTATCACTTTCAGTTATTACTTGATATACAGAAATTCATACATTGCAGGGACCGCCTGGGTAGTTCAGTCAGTTGAGTGTCCCATTCTGGGTTTCAGCTCAGGTCATGATCTCAGGGTCCCGAGATCAAGCTCCCTGTCAGACCCTGTGCTCAGCGGGGAGTCGGCTTGAAGATTCTCTCCCTGTGCCCCTCCCCCCACTCATATTCTCTCTCTCTCCCCCCCTCTCGCTCTCTAAAATAAATAAATCTTTTTTTAAAAAGTTCATACATTGCAAAATAAACTTAAAGGAAATGTTAGTATGTTTTTCAGAAGGCTGTAGCTCTCCTGTTAGAAATCTTAAGCTTGTGTTTAGATAATCACTGATGAAGGTCAATCACGTTTATCCAGCTCTTGATTATTAGATCCCCAACAAGAATACCAGATAGAGAAAACAACATGGTGGCTTTAGAATGTATGTTTTACTTATATTTCGGGGTATGTTTACATAACATGTTCTGGAAATAATTCACTTCACACCAGTGGTTGAAACAGTACTGGAGGACAGTAATAGAGTTAGCTAAAAATCTAACTCTCACAGAGCTGACTGCTTATCTATCAAACGATTCCGGAATTACCTACCTCCACTCACCTAAGTTAAAAAAATTGACTTCAGGGCAGATGCTTGCCAAATTTTTCTGGAAAAGAGAGGCAATTACCTTAATTTTGAAGAACTTCCCTCTTAACTGCAAGACAAAGTAAAAATAAAGCTGAACTTAATTTTCATTTTGGACTGGGTAAATAAATAATTTTTGAGAGCTGGATTTGGGACAAATGAAGTGGCCTGTCAGAGCTCTGCTTCTAAGGTTAAGTCTGGCTTTTAAAGATAAAAAGAAAATATGTAGTCTAGATACACATAAGTTCTAGAAAAAGTCACTGTGTTCTTTGAAAAAAATAATAAATATTCCATACATGTAAATCATCAAGGAAGACAAAAATACATACTAGACCGAGAAATTGCCAACTTAAAAATTCATGCTGAGCTTGCTGTCCATTTCCTGGAATATCATTCTTGCTGGAGTGATAAATATCTCCTTTGATCCTCTGGTTTCCTCTGGCCCTCAGTTCCTGCAGCTCAATCCACCAGATTGTGTGCTGCTTAACTCTGCTTATCTTTAAATAATCTATCTTTCTCAAACCACCTTCTCCGGCTGCCTCTCAAGAGTCTTCCTTTTTGTCCTGCTTCTACTACCCACTCTACTCAGTCCTTTCTCCTAAGGGCTCCCCATCTCTGCCCTGTGGGAAAGGAGCAGCCTCCTGAACCCTGGGCCCGAATCTGTGGCTGGGGACAGGATGGCCTTCCCTGATGGTCTGGCACTGTCCTTGGCATGTTAGCTACAGCTGTCTCATTGAACATTCACAGTCATTCTTTTGGGAAGTTTTACTTTTCCTTTGCACAGATGAGAAAATTGAAGGCTAAAAGTGTTAAGTGATTTGTCGAAGTTAACACAGGAATTGTGGGGCTGAACCAAGATTCAAGCCCAGGGCTATCTTTCAGTTGGGCCTGTGCTGCCTTCAAACATGCCAACTGAAACAGAAACAAACTTTTGGAATGGAATCTGGTCCCAACTTAAATCTATCCATACTGAAAAAATGAAACAAATACAGTTGGCTAAGAACTGCAGGGCATGCAACAATTTATCCTGATGATCTTATGAATAATTCTGTACCTTAACTTTAAATTCTGAATCCAAGTTACCCAATGATCATTTTCTATAAAAATCAGAGCATCTCCCTTTCTATCTGGAAATATTTTTTCAGAGAGTAGTGTTAGAAATGGTGAGTAGGATACCAGTTGGCTCTTAGTTGCATAGTGAACCTTTCATGAATGAGAATTCTGATATAAATGATATGTTAGTTTCTCCTTGTTTCTTTGGAGAATACAGAAGATGCCAACAAAGAACTGAATGTACCAGGAACGCAGCTATCCTTTTACTCACTTCACCAGTCCCCTTAGAAGGGAGAAGAATAATAGTAACATCCTCAACAATCCTAGCAACAACCATTACCATTTGCTGAGTACTATAGGGGACCTCACCTATCAAATTTTCAGTTAAAAAAAAGTGATTGCCTTTCTGCTTTGCATTGATTATTATATCATATCATCAACTTTTTTGATGAGGAGTCACACATGTAAAATATAGCTCTGTTAATATCATATATATTTTATTTTACTTTATTTATTTGCCATTTACAGTCATAAAAAGAAACAAAATATCTCTGAAGATTTGGGCAGACAATTAAGGTGGTAGTTTTGAATTCTTGTCTTGAAGTACAAGCCTTCAAGAGTTTTGCTACTCAACATGGGGCGGAAGGGGGCTGTCTGTGGACCAGCAACATGAGAATCACCTGGGGGAACTCATTAGAAATTCAGAATCGTGGGGCACCTGGCTGGCTCAGTTGGAAGAGTGTGTGACTCTTGATCTCTGGGTTGTGAGTCCGAACACCACATTGGGTATAGAGATAACTAAAAAAATAAATAAATAATAAACTTAAAAAAAAAAAAAAAGGAATGCAGAATCTCAAACCTATCCACAAAATTACTGGATGAGAATCTGCATTTCATTAAAATCCCAGGGATGTCTATGTTCCCTGTAACTTGAGAAGTTCAAATCTAGAAGGTCACTCTGGCTGCTCCAGCTTTATTATCCTGTCAACCAATATAATTTTCTTCTACAGATTACTGGAAGAATTGGTTCGGAAAGAGAAAGAATTACAAGCACTCCTTCATCAAGCTATTGAAGAAAAAGACCAAGAAATTAAACACCTGAAGCTTAAGTCCCAACCAATAGGTGAATAGCAGAAACTTTTTAAGTGATACTATTAAACTAGGCTGCCACAGAAAGGGGAGAAAGCTAATGGAAAGTTTTATTTCATGGCTTAATTGACACCCATCACTTGTACCATGACTACAAGCAGAAAGTGCTTTTAAGAAATATCCAATTCTTGGGTCCCTGGGTGGCTCAGTTGGTTGGGCGACTGCCTTTGGCTTAGGTCATGATCCTGGAGTCCTGGGATTGAGTCCTGCATGGGCCTCCCTGCTCAGTAGGGAGTCTGCTTCTCCCTCTTATCTCTCCCCTCTCATGCGCTCTCTCTCAAATAAATAAGTAAAAATAATATCTTTTAAAAAAAGAAATATCCAGTTTTTAGTAGCAGCAAAATATAACTTGATTTCATTTTTTCCTGAGATTATTTGAGGTGAATATGGCTCTAACACTTTTTTGGTCTTTATTTTCATTTTCAAATGAGATTACTACAATAAAAGACTATTTTTGGTCATTTTTGCATTTGTATTTTTTATATTCTGGGCTTTTTCTATTTTATTGCAAATAGTGAAAAAAGAGATTATTATAGGATTATATGGCTTTCTGCTAATTATGCTCATGTTTGTCACATGAAAAACCCACAGTACGATTTTGGTGAAACTATAGAATTGTTTCAAAGAAACTATATTTCTTTGAATTTAGAGCAACTATAGATTTGGTATAAAGTATGAGGTAGGGATATCATTACATTATTACTTCTGCCCCTCCACTTATTAGTAGTCTTTAAGCGTTTTGTTTATATTTATATTGCCAATCTCAATTGTTTCTGTTATTTTCTGATAGAGCAAAATCTTTTAAAGTGTAAATAAATGTCTGTGGCCTGGGAGGGTGCCAGATGGCCTCTGTGAAGAGAAGCTAAAAATGTCCCTCCCTCCCCAATTCTGTCCCAGATATTCCTGGATTGCCCGCATGCCCCCGGGATTCTCCTGGCACAAATACTGAAGAGTCTGAGCTTACTGAGTGGCTGAGAGATAAGGGAGCTGATGAAGACACTATAAGTCGGGTAAAGAAAACTATCCGTGGGACCAGCTTTTCTTTCACTCCATAATGTTGAGTGCCTACAGTGTGTGAGGCACGGGGCATATACACTGGTGAGCCCTCGTGCCGCCTGCAGACTAGGGCCTGCAGGTGGTCGTCAAATAATTCCACAGATAAAGTGTAATGATACCCTGATAAGCTCTATGAAGGAGAGGTTATCAGGTGTTTGGAGACAGAGAGAGGAAAAGGTTGGTGAATGAGCTGGAGTCTAAAGGCATATGTAGGAATAAACCATGCCATCTGTTATGTATATGGGGGAGGGGCAGGTGAGGAGGGAAAAATCATTCGGGGGCTGGGATGCTGTATGTGCAAAAGAGTGAAGCAGGCAAGTTCTGTGGTCCAGGACTCCTCTAAGGAGTTTTTATATTTTTGAACTGAAAATAAGGAAGAGTGGAAAAATCAAGACAAAACCAAAAATTGTAAAGTTTCTAATTCTCTCTTTTGTTTAACTCTTTAGTTCTCTCACAACATTTTTAGACTCTACTGGGCAGTGGCTATTTATTAATATTTAATAAAATAGACCTAGTCAGTCAACTTGTGTCAGGAACACTTTCTAGATCTATAATGACCTGATTCCCCTCTGCTCCTTACAGACTTTGGGAAATTGGTAGGAAGAGTAGTACTTATGTTTGAAGATTACATACATATATACACACATACACACAAGAAGAGGTTATATTTTTTTATTATTTTATAGAAAGGGCCCCAATACAATATTACATTAATTTTAGTTTTATGTTTAAATTTTTTAAATAACAAAGAATAAAGTTTTTTTCCTCTTTACTTGATAATTCATTGGGCTACTAAATAGAATTTAGGGTTTCCTTAGAAATCTGCTTTGAACAAGTTACTGCTACCTAAACTGCTCTCTTGCTTATGGAGAATGATGTGTCCATTCAAGTTCTCTGAAATATTTATTTCTCAAACTAAGACTCAAGGCCCAATTAAAGAGTAGTATGGATGATCCACTAAATCATTGCCTTTTTTTATTTAAAATTAAAGCTTCAGTTTAAATTCAGGACTCTGATTTTATAGTAATGATTTTAAAAGTACCTTTTATCAGCTGTGAAAAACAAATTCAGAAATTAAGCGTAAACAATACCTTTTCAGGAACACTTTTTATCCACCTGAGAAAAATAAAGCTACACAGCAAAAAACCTCTCAAATATAAACATTATGGGGGAGCGGATGAGGTAATTGGGCGATGGACATTAAGGAGGGCACGTTCTGTGATGAGCACTAGGTGTTAAATGCGACTGATGAGTTACTGAGCTCTACATCTGAAACTAATGATACGTTCTATGTTAACTAGTTGAATTTCAATAAGTTAAAAAACATACAAACGTTATCTTACGAACAGCAGATGTAATTAATTACAAATAAGTTTTATCTGTTCATTAGAAGGCCATTCAGAAATTGTGTTGCTTGTGATCTTTATGCATTTGGAAGTCATATGGATGTATTCTTTGTTTTGTAATGGGGGGACTTTTTCCTAATCACTCCAGAAGATTATGTTTTTAGTAGATTTCCTTTTAGATTGATTTTTAAATTATTGCCATTTATATTGTGAATAGAGTTTACTATTTATTAAAGGTATATATAAAATGTCTTACTTTTGTGCATGTTTTACTTTCTCCACAGTTTTTGGCTGAGGATTATTCACTAGAGGATGTTCTCTACTACGTTACACGTGATGATTTAAAATGCCTCAGACTAAGGTACCACTCTTTTCTTTATGTCCCTTTTTCTTGGTGGAAAGAGTGCTGGGCTGAGAAGTCTGGGCTCCTGCCCTGGCTGGGTCCCTCCCCAGCCCTCACCATCTCAGCAGTCCTGGGGCCCATTCTGTGGTTCACATTTGCTCTGAGTAAACAGAGTTTGTTTCCCCAGGCTATTACTGGGTACTCTTATAACCAAAATTTCTGTATTAGTAAATGCAAATCAACTCAAAGAATTTCTTGATAATAAAGTAGACTGAGGCTATGCAGTTATTTTAAAGCTGCCTTAAACAACTGCTCTCATTTAGTTCATGATTGTACCATAATTATTAGAAATAATAGGATAGGTTCCCATTTGCCATCCTGTAACATGTATAATATGATACAGTTTCTTATCATAGTTTTCTCTATCAGGCCAACCACATGCATAAGTGACTCACACAGAATTCTGTAAAGACCCATTTCAAATGTGCTAAAAACCTGAAATGATGCTTTGGGAACTGGTAGTCTGTGGGAATGGAAAGGAAAGGCAGGGAGGGATAATGACAAAACACAGAAAGAATTACATGAGGACCGATGAGACTTTGGGATCTCTGTGTTCTGATCAGAGCGGCGCCAGGCAAAGGTCACTTGTATATGTCAAGAGCAGTGTTTCAAATGAGGTGTTCTCTTCCCCGTGTTCTTGTGTCTTAAACAGGGGAGGGATGCTCTGCGCGCTGTGGAAGGCCATCACCGACTTTCGAGACACACAGACTTGACTATGGCTCTGTTTGTGTCCAGCCTTCCGTGGAGAGTCTAACAGAACTGGTCTTCGCAGGGGAGGGAGAATCTAAGGGAGAGGAGAAAGAAGCTGCACTTTAAATCCAGTATTTGTTTACTTGTGTTAAAAGAAAAAAAAAGACAAAATACACTGAAATTTCCTAACTGCTTCTATTTCTACTATTCATAAGGACTCTTTGTAAGGACTCTCAAAAATAATCCTAAACATCAGGATGCTTGGGATTATTTTCGTCTAAACATTTTTATGGAAATATTTTTAACTTAGCAGCTGTTGCACTTCAGCTATGTCTCTTTTACACAAAACGGATAGAACATTTCATGTGATTGTGCATCACTGGAACAAAACCAAAATGTGACCATAATTTTTTAGACTTCTGTGTGTGTGTAGGATACTCAGAGTAGAAATGCATAATTTCGGTTATTGTGTAAAGTTTATGTTTGTTTGGCTTTTTTTTTTAAAGTGTGCAGAATCTGAGAAGCAGCGGTTTTTACTTACTGATCTGTATTAATTGTAATATTGACTCTATTTTGTAACTTGAGTTTCTGGCCCATAGTACGTTCATTTGAGTCGTGTATGCACTACTGAACTGTACCAGTTGCACATGTCTGAATCCTAGTAATGTTAGCTTGTTCTAAAGCTATTCATTGTGTCATATTTACTCTAAAAAGTAAAGACTCTTAACATACTGTTCGATAAATTCTGAAGAGTTCTTATTTTATTGTGGCAAATGAGATGAACTTCTGTGTCAAATTTCTAGTTGTTTCTTTTGTTCTTCAATAGAATCTATTCAAGTAATCAAAGAACAATTGATCTGCAGGTTGTCCCTCAGGGCACCCGAGTGGTAAGAGAGAGGATAAAGGAAAAAAAAAGAAGAATTTACGTAAAAGAAAGTCCCTGTGTTTTTTCTCAAGGCCACAAGTTATCTTGAGTGGCTACTGTATATCTCAAAGGGTCTGCAAATAGCATCCCAGTGGAGAAACCCTGCATTTTCTGTCTCCTTAATTGTTTAGTTCTCATATTTGAGGGAAACGTTTTTATTTGAAGCTGAATATTATAGTTTATAAGCCTGCCTGTGTTAATAGGGTGAAGTCTGCAGCTCCTAGATAGATGGATAAGATAAACACAAAATTCTAACACACAGAGGAATTTGCTTGTTATACAAGACAGAAATAACGTACGTATCGTGACTTGACCCATACGTAACAGTCTTTGAAAGAATAAGAGTCATCTTTATTTCCATGTGAAAATCAAGGTCCGATATTTCTTGTATTGCATTAGACTGCACAGAAAGTTCTCACCTTATTTTCTCGTTTGATACTTGGAACAACATGGCTGCATCTTTTTTTACATCCCGATTTCAAGGACAGATAATTGCTTCTTGTAGCCTTTGGGGATATTTCGAACAAGGGGAGGTATAAATTAAATGGTACGTCATTTCACTCATACTGACACAGCGTAATTCTCTTTTTTTAAGGATTTATTTACTTATTTTAGAGAGAGAGAGAGAGCGAGCATGTGCAGCAGGGGACCACAACTGGAGCCAAAACCAAGAGGTAGTTGCTTAACTGTGCCACCCAGGCACCCCACCACAGGATAGTTCTTAATTAAGCCAGAGTTCATCTCCCCAGTTCTAATGGTAGCTGCTTCTTTTAGATTGTGCATAAGGATCAAGCTACCCATCTTCAACCAATTCTTTAATGATAGGGTTTTCCTTGGGATCTGCCTCCTACCTTATCTTTGTGGGCTTTGTGGGTTCCTCTGTCCCTGCATGGTTCATAATATATTCCCAGGCCAGCATCATTAGGTTTTTGTCAAAACATTGGGCCTCAGTCACAAAAAGTAGCAGTTCCATTATCATCCAAGTTCCGTTGGACAGGAGGAGTCAAGATGGCGGAGAAGTAGCAGGCTGAGACTACTTCAGGTAGCGGGAGATCAGCTAGATAGCTTATCTAAAGATTGCAAACACCTACAAATCCAATGGGAGATTGAAGAGAAGAAGAATAGCAACTCTAGAAACAGAAAATCAACCACTTTCCGAAAGGTAGGACTGGCGGAGAAGTGAATCCAAAGCGACAGGAAGATAGACCGCGGGGGGAGGGGCCGGCTCCCGGCAAGCGGCGGAGCAACGGAGCACAAAATTGGGACTTTTAAAAGTCTGTTCCGCTGAGGGACATCGCTCCAGAGGCTTAAAACCGGGGTGAAGCCCACACGGGGTCAGCCTGGCCTCAGGGCCCGCAGGGTCACAGAAGGATCGGGGGTGTCTGAGTGTCGCAGAGCTTACAGGTATTAGAACAGGGAAGCCGGTTACAGAGACAGAGCCGAGGAGTGAGCTCACAGCTCTGGGTTACCTTGAACCGGTCGCAGGCTCGGTCAGCTTGGAGCGCGGCCGGAGGCAGGGTGACGGGAGTAATTGGGCGCTGTTCTCTGAGGGCGCACTGAGGAGTGGGGCCCCGGGTTCTCGGCTCCTCTGGGCCGGAGACCGGGAGGCCGCCATCTTCATTCCCGCCCTCCGGAACTCTACGGAAGGCGCTCAGGGAACAAAAGCTCCCGAAAGCAAACCTGAGCAGATTACTCAGCCCGGCCCCTGGTAAGGGCGGTGCAATTCCGCCCGGGGCAAAGACACTTGAGAATCACTACAACAGGCCCCTCCCCCAGAAGATCAACAAGAAGCCCAGCCAGGACCAAGTTCACCCACCAAGGAGTGCAGTTTCAATACCAAGGAGAGCAGCGGAATTCCAAAGGAGGAGAAAGCAAAGCACGGAACTCATGGCTTTCTCCCCATGATTCTTTAGCCTTGCAGTTAATTTAATTTTTTTTTCTTTTTCAATTTTTTTTTTCTTCTTCTGCTAAATTTTTTTAACTTTTACCCTTTTCTTTTTTTAACATTTTTTAACTAGTTTATCTAATATATATATATATATATATATATTTTTTTCCTTTTTATATTTTTTTATTGGTTTTCTTTTTTTAATTGTTTCTTTTCTTTTCTTTTCTTTTTTTTTTTTTTCTTTCTGAACCTCTTTTTATCCCCTTTCTCCCCCCTCACGATTTGGGATCTCTTCTGATTTGGCTAAAGCATATTTTCCTGGGGTTGTTGCCACCTTTTTAGTATTTTACTTGCTCCTTCATATACTCTTATCTGGACAAAATGACAAGGCGGAAAAATTCACCACAAAAAAAAGAACAAGAGGCAGTACCAAAGGCTAGGGACCTAATCAATACAGACATTGGTAATATGTCAGATCTAGAGTTCAGAATGATGATTCTCAAGGTTCTAGCTGGGCTCGAAAAAGGCATGGAAGATATTAGAGAAACCCTCTCGGGAGATATAAAAGCCCTTTCTGGAGAAATAAAAGAACTAAAATCTAACCAAGTTGAAATCAAAAAAGCTATTAATGAGGTGCAATCAAAAATGGAGGCTCTCACTGCTAGGATAAATGAGGCAGAAGAAAGAATTAGCGATAGAGAAGACCAAATGACAGAGAATAAAGAAGCTGAGCAAAAGAGGGACAAACAGCTACTGGACCATGAGGGGAGAATTCAAGAGATATGTCACACCATAAGACGAAACAACATTAGAATAATTGGGATTCCAGAAGAAGAGGAAACAGAGAGGGGAGCAGAAGGTATATTGGAGAGAATTATTGGAGAAATTTCCCCAATATGGCAAAGGGAACAAGCATCAAAATCCAGGAGATTCAGAGAACCCCCCTCAAAATCAATAAGAATAGGTCCACACCCCGTCACCTAATAGTAAAATTTACAAGTCTTAGTGACAAAGAGAAGATCCTGAAAGCAGCCCAGGAAAAGAAGTCTGTAACGTACAATGGTAAAAATATTAGATTGGCAGCAGACCTATCCACAGAGATAGGTCTGGATATATTCAGAGTACTAAATGAGAAAAACATGCAGCCAAGAATACTATATCCATCTAGGCTATCATTGAAAATAGAAGGAGAGATTAAAAGCTTCCAGGACAAACAAAAACTGAAGGAATTTGCAAATACCAAACTAGCTCTACAGGAAATATTGAAAGGGGTCCTCTAAGCAAAGAGAGACCCTAAAAGTAGTAGATCAGAAAGAAACAGAGACAATATACAAAAATAGTCACCTTACCCGCAATACAATGGCACTAAATTCATATCTCTCAATAGTTACCCTGAATGTTAATGGGCTAAATGCCCCAATCAAAAGACATAGGGTATCAGAATGGATAAAAAAACAAAACCCATCTATATGTTGCCTACAAGAAACTCATCTTAAACCTGAAGACACCTCCAGATTTAAAGTGAGGGGGTGGAAAAGAATTTACCATGCTAATGGACATCAGAAGAAAGCAGGAGTGGCAATCCTTACATCAGATCAATTAGATTCTAAGCCAAAGACTATAATAAGAGATGAGGAAGGACACTATATCATACTCAAAGGAACTGTCCAACAAGAAGATCTAACAATTTTAAATATCTATGCCCCTAACGTGGGAGCAGCCAACTATATAAACCAATTAATAACAAAATCAAAGAAACACATCGACAATAATACAATAATAGTAGGGGACTTTAACACTCCCCTCACTGAAATGGACAGATCATCTAAGCAAAAGATCAACAAGGAAATAAAGGCCTTAAATGACACACTGGACCAGATGGACATCACAGATATATTCAGAACATTTCATCCCAAAGCAACAGAATACACATTCTTCTCTAGTGCACATGGAACATTCTCCAGAATAGATCACATTCTTGGTCCTAAATCAGGTCTCAATCTTTTGATAATTACATTATCAAAAGATTGGAATCATTCCCTGCATATTTTCAGACCACAGTGCTCTGAAGCTAGAACTCAATCACAAGAGGAAATTTGGAAAGAACCCAAATACATGGAGACTAAACAGCATCCTTCTAAAGAATGAATGGGTCAACCAGGAAATTAAAGAAGAGTTGAAAAAATTCATGGAAACAAATGATAATGAAAACACAACGGTTCAAAATCTGTGGGACACAACAAAGGCGGTCCTGAGAGGAAAATATATAGCGGTACAAGCCTTTCTCAAGAAACAAGAAAGGTCTCAGGTACACAACCTAACCCTACACCTAAAAGAGCTAGAGAAAGAACAAGAAAGAAACCCTAAACCCAGCAGGAGAAGAGAAATCATAAAGATCAGAGCAGAAATCAATGAAATAGAAACCAAAAAAACAATAGAACAAATCAACGAAACTAGGAGCTGGTTCTTTGAAAGAATTAATAAGATCGATAAACCCCTGGCCAGACTTATCAAAAAGAAAAGAGAAAGGACCCAAATAAATAAAATCATGAATGAAAGAGGAGAGATCACAACTAACACCAAAGAAATACAGGCAATTATAAGAACATACTATGAGCAACTCTACGCCAACAAATTGGACAATCTGGAAGAAATGGATGCATTCCTAGAGACATATAAACTACCACAACTGAACCAGGAAGAAATAGAAAGCCTGAACAGACCCATAACCAGTAAGGAGATTGAAACAGTCATCAAAAATCTCCAAACAAACAAAAGCCCAGGGCCAGATGGCTTCCCGGGGGAATTCTACCAAACATTTAAAGAAGAACTAATTCCTATTCTCCTGAAACTGTTCCAAAAAATAGAAATGGAAGGAAAACTTCCAAACTCATTTTATGAGGCCAGCATCACCTTGATCCCAAAACCAGACAAGGATCCCATCAAAAAAGAGAACTACAGACCAATATCCTTGATGAACACAGATGCAAAAATTCTCGCCAAAATACTAGCCAGTAGGATTCAACAGTACATTAAAAGGATTATTCACCACGACCAAGTGGGATTTA